TCCGCGGCGAGTCTTAGGTCACGTGGAACCGAAAGCAAAACACCGCGGGCAGCCGGGAGAGCGGCTTCCGGGTCCCAGACACCGCCCGAGGGTGTCTGCTGACCGCTCGTGGTGCCGGCGCGCGTGACCCCGGCAACCTCGGAAGCCTGGAGCCGGTGTGACCCGCGATCCTTCACGGGCGTCTTCAGATCCCACGCGCTTCCACACGCGAATCGCTTTCCTTCCGTTCATCCAAACACCCAGTAAATATGCGGAGTTTGTTTAGTACCAGGCACGCCACCCCTCTCCGGGGGACCTAGAAACCATGGGCAGTACTTAGGGAAGACTTACATTATAGCTGTGATGGTGTGAAGAAATGTAAGGGCGCCCAGCCTAAGGCTTCTTCCAAAAGGAAGTGATGTTTAGTTCGAGTTCACTGGGATCGACTAGCAGAAGAGACAGGGGAAGCACTCCAGGCAGAGACAATGTGTATATGAAGATCCCCGAAGGATAATGGAAGAGCTGGGCAGATTTGAGGAATTAACAGAGCGTGCGCAAAGCTGGAGGGGCAGTGGGCCATGGAGCGTGGACTGGCGGCGGGGCAGGGCCTGGTGGACATGCCGAGGTCTCTTCTGGGATCCTTAAGGAGTTGTCTTCATTTTACATATTGGGGAACTGAGGGCCAGAGAAAGGAAATGACTCAGACAAGGCCAGTACCGGTAGGAGAGCAGGTCTGGGACTAGAACCGGAACTCCCAAGACCAGCCTTCTGGCCGCTATTGCCCAAGTGCCTCTACTTTTCAGGCTGCCTCTCTGGCAGGGAGGAGTTGATGGGGGCTTTGTGGTGGGCTCTTTAGAAAAACTGTTTCTAACAGGATTTTGAATCCTTTTGTAGACAGGTGTAGATTTTTCCAGAATGTCAGGCCTTTAGGGACAGGAAAGGGAGCAGAGGAGGATTGCCGATCCAGAGAGTCTGGAGTCTGGACTGAAAAAGAACAAGGGAGTCCAGTGGGCTTGCCGGCTCCCGGGCTCCCTGCCCCCAGACACAGCTGCAGGCCCTGCCTTGCTCCTGGCTCTGAGCAGCTCTCAGGAGGTGCAGCCCCTGCTCACTCAGTTCCTGGTGTGAAAAGGTTCAGCCTTTCTCAGGGAGCACTCCCAAGACCGGCCGGAGAGATGTGCTCTCAGGGGGCTACAGCCTGCAACACCTCCGCCAAAGCCCTTCTCTGCTCCTCTCCAGCATCCCTCACTCGCACCCCATTTTCCCTCTGAACACCCCTTTCTCCAGGTGAGCCTTGTCAGGTTCTCCTCCTGCCTGGACCTGTTTGACTGGCATTTCTGGATCTCAGGGAACACGTGTGTGTGGGGGGGGGAGTTGGGGCTCTCTGTGAGGTCTGGATTCTCTGGTGGTGGGGGCGGGCAGTAGGTTGGGGACACCATCCAGGGGTTGGTAGTACATTTAACGCCTGAGTTCGTAGATGCTGGGGAGGAGCTTCAGGGATGACTCCAAGCATGTCACACTCTTTTCTCATCTTCCCCGTCAGGCTGGGAGCTCTTTGACAACAGGAGGGGGCTGATTGAAGAAATTAAAGTATGAACGAACTATTAAGCATTTACTGAAAAATGAGGAAGATGTGTTAATGATTTGGAATGTTCTGCAAATGGTCAAACCAGTGGATATAGTACACTCGCATTTGTGTGGGTATTTTTTATTTATTTGTTGTTGTTAATCCTCACCTGAGGATATATTTTCCAATAATTTTTGTTTGTGTTTTTTTTTTAGAGACAGTGGAAGGGAGGGGGGGGGCAGAGAAACATCAATGTGGATATGAGAGAGACAGATTGGTTGCCTCCCACACGTCCCCGACTGGGGCCAAGGAACAAGCCTGAAACCGAGGTATATGCCCTTAATCAGAATTGAACCCGCAACCCTTCAGTTTGTGGGCCAATGCTCTAACCACTGAGCAACCTGCTAGGGTTGTGTGCATCTTTTTTTTAAGGCTATGAATACAGTGGTTGCCTCCCATGGAGTACTTGGATGCTGAGGGTGGGAGGACTTTACTTTTTCAATTAATGTGTGTGAAACAAGTAGGCCTGGCTCTCCTCTCTCCATCTCATCATGTCCTCTTATGTTCCTGGCCCCTCTGTCTATGTGCCCCAGAATAGTGCCCAGCCAATCCAGTTGCCTGTCACAGCCCAGCTAGGATCACACTCACGTTGCCAGCGAGGAGGAATGAGTCCTTCCCTGTCTGGCCACCAGGGAGCAGCCAATGCCTAGGACATGCCTTGGGTAGGCCAGGGAGCTGGGAAGGCAGCCAGGTCTCTTGGATCTGAGGGGAGCTCCAATGCCCCTTCTGTCCAGGGCTCCTGGGACAGAAAGAGGCACAGTCCACCCAGGTCCCCAATGAATCGGACAGAGAGTGGGTCCTGAAGGTGGTGATGGAATTGTCCCATCTTTATAGCACTGAGCAGGCCCAAAGCCACCCTTTCCATGCTGGTTCTAGGACCGCAAGATGAGGGGCATTCACTGGACAGAGCACAGACTCACTCAGCAGATGTCTGGGGTCCAGGGATTCCACGAGAAGGGGATCTCCTATTTTAATCCTGCCCCCAAATGCATCCAGCCGCCAGTCCTAGGCAATTACCCATCTGCTTTCTGTCTCTATAGATTTGCCTACTTCACAGAAATGGAATCATATTATGTGGTCTTGTGTCCTGTTTCTTAGCATCATGTTTCTGAGGTCCATTCATAGTGTTGCAAGTAGCAGTACTTTATTCCTTTTTATTGTAGATTAATACCTATTATATGGATAGACTGCCTTTTGTTATCCAACTGATGGACATGTGGGTTGTTTCCATTGGGGGGCTACCATGAAAAATGCTACTATGAACACTGTGTACAAGTCTGCGTGCGCATCTTTTCATTTTTCTTCAGTGGATACCTAGAAGTCAACTTGCTGGGTCTTATATTCTGTTTAACGTTTTGAGGAACTGCCAGACTGCTTTCCATTTTACATTCCTACCAGCAGGGACTAGGAGTTCCAATTACTCCACATCCTTGCTGGCACTTGTCATTAACGTTTTTATAAACCTTTTTAGTGGATGTGAGGTGGTATCTCCTCATGGTTTTGATTTGCATTTCTCTAATGACTAATTATGTTGAGCATTTTTTCATGGGCTTACTGGCCATTCAGCCTGGGGACATAGAGGGCTGACTGCATATTTACTGAAAAAAAACAACAACAAAAAAACCCCCAAGTATAAGTGGACCCCTGCAGTTCACACACATTATTCAAGGGTCAACTGTATGATTTGCAGACATTGTCTCCTGGTGTGAATGTCTTTATTTTTCCCTTTGAACCAAAACATTTTTTAATTTTCCTAAAGCCCAACTTATCTTCATCATTTGTTATTTTTGCTGTCATATCTAAAAATCATTGCCTAGCCCAAGGTCAGCATGAAGACTCGTGATTTCCTCTTAAGAGTTTTAGTTTTAACTCTTACATTTAGGTCGTGATTCACTTTGAGTTAACTTTTGTGCATAGTGTGGGGTCCTGGTCCAAATTTGTTTTTTTACATGTGGATACCCAGTTGTACTAGTACTATTTGTTGAAAAGACTTCTTTCCCCGTTCTTTTGGATTTTCTTGGCCCCTTTGTTGAAAATCAATTGATGCCCTACCTGGTTTGGCTCAGTGGATAGAGGGTTGGCCTGCAGACTGAAGAGTCCCAGGTTTGATTCTGGTCAAGGGCAAGTGCCCAGGTTGCGGGCTCAATCCCCAGTATGGGGCGTGCAGGAGGCAGCTGATCAGTGATTCTCTCTCATCATTGATGTTTCTATCTTTCTCTCCCTATCCCTCCCTCTCTGAAATTAAAAAGTAAAAATTCTAAAAAAAAAAAAAAAATCAATTGACCATAAATATTAAGGTTTATTTCTGGACTCTCAATTTCAATTCTATTCCATTGATTCCAAATATCTATTTTACTTATTTATAAAAAGTTATTTGTTGATTTTAGAGAGAGGAAGAGAGAGAAACATCAATTTGTTGTTCCATTTATTGATGCATTCATTGATTGATTCTTGTATGTGTCCTGATCTGGGACCAAACCCATAACCTTAGTGTATCAGGATGATGCTCTAATCAATTGAGCTACCCAGCCAGCACCCAAATATCTATTTCAGTTAGGCCTCCCTTTTTGAGTCAGTAACAGAGCAGAGGCTAAAAGAGCTCATTTACCTGAATTTCCACTCTGGACTTTCGGAAGAGACGGGTGGAGGTGCTGCACCCAGGGCCTATTCCAGGGCAGCTGGCCTGTTAGGGAGGAGAGGGTTTGAGGCTGGGGGGACAGGAACATGAAATGAACAGGGGTTTCCTGCCCCTCCCGGAGCCGCAGTTGTCAGCCTGCTGCTCGAATTCCTGAGCAGCCCCTGCTCCGGAGGCCCCGGGAGGGAGGGCCCTGGGAAAGAATGTGGATGCCTTACATGGCAGTGAGGAGGGAGAGGTGCCCTCCCTGCCCACCCCGCCTGCCTGGACAGTCTGCAGGCTCTTCAGCCACCTGCCTACCTCAGCACCTCACATTCTCCAGCTGCTCCAAACCACATGCTGAGCCTCCATTTACACCAAGGCCAAGGGCATCAGGGCTCAAAACAGCCAGGCTGCTGAGCCCCGAAGAGCACAATTGGAAAAGAGGGAGAGGGCAGATGCCCAGACCCCCACGAGCCTCTGCTGTTTGGGGGTGTAGTGTGTGAAGGGGAGGCGAAGCCGGGTTCCTAAGACCCCTCCCCATCATGGGTTGTGGCCCTGCAAAGCTGCCTTGGCTCATGCGAGGGGGAAGGTGCCTGTGAAACTTGAGATAAGGTGAGAATTTCAAACTTACTGCCTGGTCAGGGCCTCGGTAGCTGTGGCCTTTGATCAGAGAAGCAGAAATGCTGGAGGAGGGCGGGGGAGAGTGTGCGAAGCAGGGGCTGTGGGTACAGAGACAGCCAGCCTCCCTCTGTAGACTCAAACACACTTTATTCAGCACAGGAATGTCTGAACAGAAGGGCCTTGGGCAGGGTTCCTTACACAGAGAACTCTACTTCAAGCCCTGCTGTCAACAGAACAAAGATCATCACATCATGTAAACCATGGGGACCACAGGGGAGGGGCTCTGCACAAGGTCTGGGTCAGGTCACACTGGCCAGCACGTGGTGCGGCTGGGGCAGCTGGGGCAGGTGGCCCCGACCCAGGCCAGCCGCGCCTGGGAGGGTTGAATTGAGCAGCTCCCTCAGGAAAGTCAGGGTGGAAGAGGGCAAGGGCCTGGCCAATTCAGGGGATTATCTCGGCCACTGAAAGTGACTGGATCAATTTAGCTGAAGCAGCCAGGGCTGCTGCGTCAACACATGCTTAAAAGGCCCGAAGATCACAGCTGGTGTGGGGGTGACAGCGGAGCCGGCCCCTCGGGGGTGCTCGTCATCAGCTCACAGGCAGGGCTGTGCAGCTCTCACAACCACATGCCTGGCAGCCCTGCCAGTCGCCTCCAATCAGCAAACGGTAAATGACAGTGACCCTCCCTGCCCAGGACCTCACTCCCCCCACTTGGGCTCACTGTGGAAGTGGGAAGGGGCACTAGTGGCAGAGCAAGGCTGGCCTGCCAGAGAACCAGCCTTGACGATCACCGTCCTTCACTCAAGAGTCATGATTTGGGGGTAGGGGAAAGGTCCTGGTCTGCACCAGGAAGAGCATCAATTTAAACCCTCTGCCCAGAGGACGTGTCAGTGCCAGGGCCCTCGAATGGGCTGAGAAGCAGCTAGCCAGGCCCTCTGTTTTGGGTCTCTCCCAGCTGTGCTATCATGCAGGATGCAAATGAGGGAGCGGAAGAAGGGGATTCTGGGAGGGAGGAGGAGAGGTCTGAGTATAGAGTGGAGGTTAGGGAGGTGGTGTTGGGTACCTTGGGACCCTTGGGGGTGACAAGAAGCCATGCATAGTGTGGCCCAGCTGGATTCCTGATTAACAAATGCTCTGAAGACCGGAGGTGGGAGGCAGAGGAGATAAGTACCATCTTCCTGGATCTGCTCCTACTAACCCCAGGGAAGGGTGCCAAGAGCACCCCCACTGCAACCAGTAACTAGAATGGCAGGAGCAGAAACTCAGAATCCGGGTGTGGATGGCGAAGGTGCTCCTGGGCATTGGGCTCATATGGAAATGCACACAGTCACCACCAGGTGACAGAGAGGAGGGTCTGGCTCGGAGGAGATGGAGGGCAGGCTGGTGCCCAGTGGTGTGAGTGACAGCCAGAGTCCAGCTTCTCTAGATCACTACACTACAATATGCACAGCTGAGGAGGCAGGAGACCCAAGGGAGGGCCGGATCTCACAAGCAGCTGGGGGAGGGTGGCAAGGATGACACAAATGCCCCCGAATCCAGGGATCACAACCAACACGCGAGAGGAGCACAGCTATCACCATGGAGTGGGTGGGGGAGGGCAGTGGGCACACGTCCCCATGCGGGCTCACTCGTCTAACTTCCCTTCCAGGATGTGCTCGAAGGAGAAGGGTAGGAACTTGAAACCGGTCCCGCTGTAGAATTTATTCTGGAACTCGACCCTGGGGAAAAGGAAGAGGGAAGTCATTATCCCACAGAAACTTTTTGGGATTTCACAGCTGGCCAGAAAGATGCCCGACCCACGCTCCCCGAAGCCTTACTCTCCTAGGTGAGCGTGGGAAAGCCGCTCTGCCTCCTGCTGCCTCTGCCAGCCCAAGCCCAGAACTCGGCCTCCTCCCAGGGCACACAGCCCTGCCTCTGAAGCCCAGGGCCTGCCCTCAGCAAGCAGTGTCCTCAGTCCTGCTCTGACCTGCTGAGCAGAGGGCCATGTGCAGAAGTTCAGCCGGCACAAGTTTCTGAACTCCCCAAACAGCCCCCCAAACAGCCGTCGCCTGGCAGGGCTCACAGCGACCTCTGAGGGAAGCCCCAAGCGGCTGTGAATTCAGCCCCGGGAACCCTGCGAGCACCACTGTTTTCTTGCTTATTGTTCCCTTGTGGGGAGGAAGGAGAAGGGAGGCTTGGGAGTGAACATTCAAGGCTTTTGAGTTAGGGGAGGAAATTCTCAGGAAAGGGGGGAAGTCAGGAGGGGAAGTCTCCTCAAAGCCATGGCAAAAATATGCTCCAACTACAAAAACATCTGAGAAAGAATTCTTCTCTTGGGGACTGAAAGGAAAAACAGAGCTTCAACTCCCTTCCCAGGCAGCTCGGCGTCCAGGCGTCCATCCCTGCCCGTCTCCCTGGGGCCCTATCGGACGGACTCGAGGGGAAGAGGAGCTCGCTCCTGTGAGCACTTGGCCGGGCTTCCCCCTGCAAACTCGCCCTGGATGGCCCGTCTCCCTGGGGCCCTATCGGACGGACTCGAGGGGAAGAGGAGCTCGCTCCTGTGAGCACTTGGCCGGGCTTCCCCCTGCAAACTCGCCCTGGATGGCTGCCCAGCAACCAAATCAGCACCAAATATGGGCAGAAAAATGCATGATTCAGAGGCTAGAAAAGCCAAGGAGAGCTGCCCTGAGGAATAGTTTCCACTGGGGCTGAGTGACCCTGGGGGCACCAGAACCGGCGCAAGAACAGGCGGGGGAGGCAGGCTGCAGGCAATAGTTTACACACAGGGCTTCCTCCTCCCCCAAACCCAGAGGGGAGCAATCAGCAGAGAGGAAAGCGTGGGGCGTGGCCTGGGCAGGTAAACCAGGAGGACTGTCTGCAGGTGGCACTGAGAGGCCCTCAGAGGCCCCTTCAGCCTCGGGGTGCTGGCTGGGGACAGTGACTGCAGGGCTTTCAGCTCCACACCTGGAGAGAAGAGGTGAACAATGTTCAGTGAGGCCATCTCTCCCCCAGCCCCACATTCCAGGGCCTGGGCCTAGGTCCCCAAGCATCCCAGACTCTGGCCAAGCCCCAGGTAAAACAGGATCCAGGACTCAAGTCAGTCATACCAGGACTGGATCCGCCCCACATCCTAACACTCCTGAGAAGCCCTTCTGCCTGTTGCAGCTACTGGGGAAGGTGGCGGGGAGGGAGCTAGGTTCCTGCTGGGCACCCACTGCTGTCAGGTCTGCATTCTTCATGTTGGGTGGGCTGTGTCTGCACATGGCAAGGGATTGCTGGACAACTGAAAAGAGATGGACTCGTCCCATTTTCATTCAAGAATATGTAGCCAGATAGTGGGCAAGTCCCCTCCAGGCCCAGGAGGGATCAGAATTCCGACCTCCTGGCCGGCTAATCACACAAACAATTCCAATTCCAAACTGGGTGAAGGGAGACGTTCTCAGAGACCCGTGGGGTCACCACCCTTCTCTTGCCACCCCTCTGTGTGACTTAAAGACATCCTGGCCCCTCTGGGTTAGCCTGACCTCACCCTCCTTCTCAGTGAGCTCACCCAACCTCCTGGCACAGAGCTGGAAAGCAGTTTCCCTGTCGGTCTCCCCACCCTCCTCTCCCTGTAAACCAGGGAAACGTGTGCTTCCTGAGAAAGTACAAACATGAAGTTCTCTGTGTGAGGGTGCAAGGGGGCCCCAGGGGCCGCCCTGCGAGTTCTTCCTTCCTTAGGGGCTCTGCTCAGGAGCCTCCAGGCCCAGCCATGCTCCAAGCCACTAAAACGCACCTCAGAATCCCACAGTTGGGAGGAAGCCCCAGGCAGGCAGTGGGCTGAGCTTCTCTATCACCCCTTCCAGCTCAGCACCTGGCAAAGGCCACCTGTGACCCAGAGGACAACCGGGCATCCAGAGAGAGACGGCTCCTGCTGTGTAACAGGAAACCTGTTTCCTGGAGTGAGCGAAGGGACTGGTTCCGGGGCCTCTTCCCTTTCCTGGCAGGGTGTGACTGAGGGGAGGCAGTTTCCGAAAGATGATTCTAGGCCCAGCTGCTGCTCTGGCCCTTACTGTCACTCTGGGCAGCTCAGGGCCAGGAGCACATGCCTGTCTGATGGTCCCAGTGTCCGGACAGTGATGTCAGCCTGGGACACATTTCAGGTCTCTTACTTCTGGGGCAGCCAGCCATTCACCCAGGTCTCCCAAGGTGTCCTGCTGTGGCACCACTGTATCCCTCACCACAAACTGGTCCCAGTCCCGTCCCGTTAGCCATCAAGCAGTCAGCGAGTGTGCAAGTGTGCACACCTACACACAGGTGGATACTGCTAGAGAAGAAGGTAGGCCATGGGCAACAGTCTTTCTGCTAAAAGCAGTTCGGTGGCCACAGTTTTAACAACAAATCATATCCCACCTTTGCCTTTCCTGAGAAAGAAAAGACATCGAATTAGGGTGACAGGAAGGCCCACCCACTGTATAGGGTTGGGGGAAAAGAGAGGGACAGACGACTCAGAGATGGAATTGGCAGGCTGGCACATTAACCTGCTCACTGTTGTTTTCAAATGTCACCCACCTCCTTCTGACCCTGCACGGACCTCAGACTAGTGGTTTACATTTGTTATCGAATCGTGTGCTTTTCTTCTTGTCCCCACGGAAGAGACCCAGAGCTTGTCTAATGGGGCAGTCCTTGCATCAGAATCAGGAACCCAGCTGAATACCAGGGGTAGAGTGACAGGTATGACGACGTCCAGGCTGGACACCAGAAAAAACAGCAACCGTGTCCCTGCACCATTCTCAGCAGGACCAGCTGTTGCCCCCTCAGGAGTGGCCACAACCCACAACTGCTGCCCAGGCATCCTGGAAGCACATCCACATTCGGCCAGGAGGGGGTGCACCTGCACCAATTCCATTCCCTAGGCAGGGATGAGCTCCAAACAGGCCTTCAGTAAGATGGGATTTGAAACGTTGCTGCGCAAGAGTTTTCGCTGTTTTTTCTCTTCTGCCCAATATTTCCACTACCAAACCCACAAGTGCAATGTGGTGGACCAGCCTATTCCTTGCAAACTACACCGGAGAGGCATTCAGATGGTATCACCTATCCTCCCACCCAGTGGTCTCCCCTCTCTCTAAACAGACTAAAAGCAGTTTCTTTACAAGCTACCACAAGGAGGTGCCCTTTCCACAGGGCACCCCACTTTCAAGCAGGGCAGCCATGATCTGCACCCGAACAACAGGTTAGATGTGCCAGGGCACCGTGAGTCCCTTGGTGTGCACATTCCTTCGCGTTTAATCCTGGCAGCCTCATCCTCTCTCTCCGCATGAGAGACAAGGAGGTTCAGAGAGGTAAGTGCTTCCCTCGGGGTCGGCCAGCCAGTGTGGGCAGAGCTGGACTTTAGACCAGGGAGGCGTGATTCTGGAGCCTGCTCTCTTGTCATCTGTCACTTCCTCGGGCTCATTTGTGTGGGGAGACAGAGGCACTCGAAGGCCACCGCTGAGCCTGAGGAAGAAGTAGCTCTCTGGCAATAACACACAATTTCACCAACTGGGGGCTCACTCTGGAGACAGGCCCGAGCCCAGGCGACCTTCCTCGACTAGAGTCGTGGTGCGCCTGCTCACTGCTCTAACTAACAGTGCTGGCCCAGCACCGCGGGGCCCCATCCCGCCTGGGAGGAGGCAGCAGGCTCCCCACCTGGGAATCACGGTGGGGTGGTAACTGTTCCCTCAAGGCCAGGGCTCAGGAGACAGAGGAGTTAGTAGGAAAGGAAGGAAGCCAAGAGCGCAAGAAAAAGTGAGTCACCACCGGCTGGCTACACAGACGTTCCCTCACACCGTGAGGCTGAGGAAGTGTGCTGGGGAGAGGGGACGCTGATAAGCTAAGAACAGGGGAGCGGCCCGCAGTCTGAATCATGGGGAGCTCCTAACCTCCTGGCTCCACAGTAAACAGCAGCTGGGCGGGGGCGGGGGAGGGGGGGACAGGAGGGAAGCCCTGGTGCTTCTCAGCTGTGCACTGAGAAAGCATGTGCACCCACCAGCAGGACAGACTCCTCCGAAGGAGCTGGTGAGGGAAGGTAAGTCCCAGCCCATCTCCCCTTACGCGCCTCACTTTTCTCCTCTGCAATTTAGAACAACAAACAGTGGCATCCTTGAGGAGGCTCAACTACAACAAAGCCAGGAGGAAAGTCAAAGATAAGGGTGGGAAGAGAAGAGGTTTCAGGTTCAGATTCTGGGTTTTCTTCAGGTTTGGATTAGTGATGAAAAGAGACATTCCAAGCCCCCCTCTGACAGTGAGGTCATGAACACCACAGATGATGTCATCTAGGGGTTCTTAAGGTCCGGTCAGTGGATCTGTGACCCCTAAACTGGTAAAACTGTGTGCTCACATGGGGGGAGGTGTTGCTGTGGAGAGAGGGTCCAGAGCTTCCAGAGCCACTGGGGTTTGAGACCCAAAAAGGGAGAATCAGATCCTAATGGAGGAAATGGAGACTCAAAGGGGCAGGGTAGCCAGAAGTAGCACAGGCTACACAGTTTTAGTGTAAGTATGTCCCATGCACATTTGGAAAATACTTACACTATAAGACAAAATCCCACCCAACTATTCACTGTTGATCTGAAATTCAAATTTGACAGGTGTTCTGTAATGTTTGCTGAATCTGGCAACCCTACTTTGAGGTCACGGAGTCACAGTCCAGGCCAGACTCCAGCTCTCCCACTCCCTAGGCTGAGCTCCCTCCCCATGCAGGGCCATGAAGAGCCACAAACTACATCAAAGAAAACAAACCCACCTCAAACCTGCCCTTCTGAAGCTGCTTCTTCGGTGCACTGACATACACGCTAGGGAAGCAGGAAACCGTCCCCCTGCCCCCCCCCCCCCACGAGCTGTCAGGGGTCCTCCTCAAAGATGCTGGCACAAGGCCAGAACCAGGGGACAAAACTGGGGTACACTGTGCTCCAGCATCTTCCTGGGCTTAGAACCTATTCCAGAGCTGTTCTCGTTGCTCTGCACACAGGAGAAAGTTCTATGCCAGAGCAAACACACCCCAAGCAAACAAAAAATAAAACCCCAGCAGATCTTTTAAGCTACCATCAGGACCACTGCAGAGTGAGAGGCAGGGAGAGGGCGCCTGACAACACCCACCGAGAATTCTCCCTGGAGGCTCTGAAAGTGAGCTGTGCTTATCGGGGGGCATTTCCGGGAGCTCACTCCTAAGATAGGTCCTGGGTGTAATGATGTGAAAGCAGACACTTCCTAGTGCTCTGGATGTTGGACAGGAGCAAAGCTGCCCTCGGTGCAGCCAAGGACACGTCCCCATATCGCCTCCCCCCGCCGCTCCCCTCACCAGTGTAACCGCAGTGCGTGGAGGAAGGCCGAGAGGCCCTCCATGATCAGGAGGATGGCCACGGTCAGGGTGGCAAAGGCGATGAAGATGAAGAACAGCGCCAGACTTCCTGCCAAGCTCTTCACCTTCAGGCCCATGTGGATCACCATGGTCCACAGCACCTCCGACAGCTCTGGGGACAGGGGAGAGACACGACCTCTGGTTTATTCGGTGAGCAGCGCTGTGGGCCTTGCATTTTGCTCTGCCACCCTCCCCTGGAGTGCTCCTTGCATTCTGGCTTCCCATGACCTGAGTGGGACCACTGTGCATTGCTAACCTGGCGAAAGCGCTGACCCTTCCATCTGGACATCATTCTCTCTGGACTCTGGAGTCTGAATAATCCCAGAAACTTATTGTAACTCCCACTCTCTTTAAGGCCCACCTGAGAGAGTGCCCAGAGAAGGGGAAAGCCATCATTTTTGATCTGAGAGAAATACACTCACGTGCGTGGGCGAGGCTGAGGGCCCAGAGCCGCAGGTACGAGGCGGTGTTGGAGATGCAGCCCAGGCAGTACTCGATGGTGTGGATGGCCTGGTGCACCATCGTGTCTCCAAAGTCAAACTGCGGTGGGGAAGCCAGAGAGAAGACGTAAGGCGGGGGGATGTGTGGAGTCTGGACTGTGCCACATGGTCCTTTGCACTCCATGGGCCAGGAGCCCCGTGTTGAACTCCAGTGGTGACTTCAGTTATGCCGTCCCCTGAAATCCTGCCTGGCTTAGTCCCCAACTGGGACACCCCCATTTCCCTCAATACACTACATTTTAATGAACTATGTCTTCATGAGATTCTTCTCAACACATCTGTCTTTCTCTCCCGGCTAGCCTGTGAGCTTAAGTGGAGTGTCTGTGAAGTTGAGAGCGCTCGGAGAAAATGGCGTTCCGGACTTTAAGGACCTTCCCTAGCCCACTCCCACCCGCTGGTGTGTGAAGTCCCCAAGTGGGAACACCGCTGTGAATAAGCCAGGGGAGCAGGAAGCCCCCCGGCTCTCAGTTGTCAGGCCCTAAACCTCCAGTCACTTCACTTAATTAGCTTAACAAACTACTGCACTCAAGATAACCAACCTCCTTTTTTTGTGTGACTTCTGCAAAGATGACACGGAAATTTTAGCAAAAGTTTTACCAATTCCACCCAGCTGGTGTGGTTCAGTGATTGAGTGTTGACCCATGAACTAGGAGGTCATGGTTCGATTCCGGGGCAGGGCACATGCCCAGGTTGTGGGCTTGATCCGCAGTAGGGGGCCTGCAGGAGGCAGCCGATGGATGATTCTCTCTCATCATTGATGTTTTTCTCTCTCTCTCCCTCCCTCTCCCTTCCTCTCTCTGAAATCAATAAAAACCTATTTAAAAAAAAAGTTTTACCAATTCCTACTTGGACAGTTGATTAAGACCAGATAGAATATCGTTTGGTTTTTGTTTCTGTTTTCATCACACTCCCTTTCTCCGTTTTCCTTCAACATCCAAAATCATTTCCAGAATAAAGGGGTGGGGCTGGAACAAGCTTCCAGGAGTTCACATGTAGGACTTTGCAAGCTCTGGAGAAGCAAGCATTTTCAGGGGGAAGAATACAGATGCTCTGGAAGCACCCGGTGCATTGCGTGGCCTCCCACTCTCCCAGGTGGAGAAACCAACAGTTACTCTAGAACAGGAGGTCATTCCATCCTGGGGGCCTCTCCCCACAGCCCAGCCCAGAGCCCTAGGAGCAGAGGGACTCCCCAGCCTGCCCTGCCCTTGGTCAGAGTCTACTTTTCACTAGTTTCTTTCAGGACACACATGACTCCACATCCAGAGTACACCAGAACTGCCCTGCAAACACATGAGGGCAGGGAGAGAGGGGGCTGACCCCACCAAGATGTACTTCCAGGCCATGTCTCATGTCTAACGGTGTCACTACTCGTCCCCCAGGAACCAAACCTGCCAATCAATCTTGACTGCCAGTCTTCGCTAAGGGACTGGGACCTGTAGCTTTTCCATTCTTAGTCTCTATTGGTCCCTTCCTTTCTAACTCCCGCTGAAAATGCTTGCTTCTCCCAGGCCTCCCAATTTTTTCCTGACTCACAGCAGACTAGCTGGTCCCCATGCCTCCAGACTGTGCCCCCTCCCCAATCCAGTATGTCCTCTAACATCTCCACTTCAGCAATCACATTTGTGGTGTCACTTTCAGCTTCACCACCCTCTGATGGGCCCTTGTTGTCCAAACAATCTGTGGCTCATTTCTGCCAACCTCTATTCTTACCTCTCATGAGTCCCCCAACTCCTGACTCTGAGCTTCAGCCAAGCTGAATACCCGTTTAATCCCTAAGCGTGATGGGCTTGCAGGCCTCTGTGTCTTTTTTTTTTTTTTTTAACATATTTTATTGATTTTTTACAGAGAGGAAGGGAGAGGGGATAGAGAGTTAGAAACATCAATCAGCTGCCTCCTGCACACCTCCTACTGGGGATGTGCCCGCAACCAAGGTACATGCCCTTGGCCGGAATCGAACCTGTGACCCTTCAGTCCGCAGGCCGACGCTCTATCCACTGAGCCAAACCGGTTAGGGCAGGCCTCTGTGTCTTTATGATAACTATTCATACTGATGGTTCTGCATCTCCCTCTCCCTCCACAGAGACTAAGCTTAGCAATAATTTCCTTAGGGAGCCCTTTCCTGGTCTCCTCTTCCCACCCCCACTCTGTTTTTCAGGTGCCCCCTTTCTGTGTTCCCACAGCATCCTGGGCACACTATGATCACAGCATCTACTGCCCAGACTGTTCCCTCAATTTGTTTGGGAGCTCCTTGAAGGCAAGGACTGTGTTTTCCTTCTTTCAGTTTCTGTAGCATTGAACAGAGGCTTGACACGTGGAGGGTGAATGGATGGATGGATGGGTTGGATGAGCACATCTGGTGAGATGACACAGTAGGGAGAGGTGCCACTGACCCTTGCTGAATGGCTACAGTCTTTAAAGGCTTCCTAGACAATCACATGACCTGGCCCTGGTCTGCAACTGTACTGAGTGCCCCCTCCCGGGAGAGGGACCGCTGCTCCCACTGGGCTGGAGCAATGACCTGTATGCGGCAAACAGGTTTTCCCAGCCAAGCAATATGGGGAAGTTCTAGGAGAAGTAGGCTGCATTTTTTAAGAATTCTGTTTTGTTTGAAATCTTTAGATAACTGTGACAGTTATCTAAATCTGTCTGTAGCAAACTAAACTGTGTATGTGTTTGAAAAAGTGTTATGACTACTTAGGAAGCTATGAAAACCAGAACCCTTAGGGATCTGGGGGGCCAGAGACTAGGGCAGCTGAATTACAGTCCATCTTGTTTCAATGTTCAACTCCCCTGGGACATGGCTACAAATAAGGACTTTTCTGGCAATGACCATGGCATTTGGGTGCTCAGTTAGTGTGACATTTAGGAAGAGCAGTGTTGTCGGAGGAGATGTTACTGGGAGGGGCTGGGCTCCTCACTAACATGGAACACACTCCCACATCCCTTCCAGGCGGCCCAGCCAGAGACTGCACAGATGAGCGGTCCAGAGGAACACGAAGGTCCTGGATGCAGCAGCCTCTCAGCCTTTAGGAAGGCTGAGCACTGTGTGTTTTTACACAAAACAGCAACGATTTTTCCCATTCCTATCAGCTGCCCCCTTACAGAGACCAGGAGAGCCAGGGAAGGGAAGGGTTTATGGGTCTAAGTATTTCAGAGAGAAATTTAGGGGTAAGATGCAAACAGTGCAGCATGGCCTTTAAAAAACCGGATTCCAAACTTGTATATTGTTAAGTGAATTCTTGCTGAGCTAGAAGGCCTTCTCCAGATGCAGCCTGAACATTTCGCCAACTTTCTTTCTATTCCCTGTTATGATGCTCTGTGTGTGGCTAATATCGCGGATGGGTTGTTTTTTTACTGGGATACATCTAAGAGGCAAAGCCTCCTTTTGAACGCTACTTCCCACCTGGGTCACACAGAGGTAGAGCTGACCCCAAGGCGAGGGTCCAGCAACTGTCACTTCAAGCATCATCAAGCTGATGAGGGCAGCAGGAAGAGGCTGGCTGCATCTCAGACAGGGAGGAAGGGGAAGCTTTACTCATAAGCACTCAGAGGACCAGGGAGGAAACAGCTACTCCCAGTGGCAGAGCGACCATACATAACATCACAGGAGAGGCAGGCAGAAGCCAATGGGATTTAACCCCCAAGGGGAGTCACTTCAAGAATGCCAATGTAGACATTACTTGTAGCTCCTTACAAAGCCATTCTCAGAGGTATTAGATCAGCGAAGTCAATGAAACAAAGACAGAGGTGACCCACATGAGATGCAGTTAATGGAGATGAGCTTTTTCAGAACACAGATTCACGGACTGGTTAGAAATGCCAGTGAGATGCAGGGTACGCGGGTGTCATGTGTGGCCCCCGGATGCAGCAGGGTCAGCAAAATGATCACAAGGACGGGAAGACAAGCCCCAGATAAACATGAAGGCAAAGCAGCTTGTTTCTTACCGCTTCATCCTCGGTAGGCTTGAAAACACAAAGTTACACTTAGTGGGAAGCCGTGGCACACACAAGGTCAAGTCGCACACACAAGGTCAAGTCACGAACACAAGACTACCATTGCTTCGTGGGGAGGACGGGTAATGTTAAGTGGGTCTAACATGTCGGAGGCAGCCTCCTCAGCATACAGGAAAGCAACATTAGCAGGATTCAGAGCAGTAAGACATATTTTTAAAAGGCACCCCTACCCTTGCAATTTCTTTTTTAAAAGGTCATACACATAGTGAAAGTGGTCAGTCAGACTAAAAAGTCCAGTCACCTGGGGTCCTCAACTCCTATTTGCTTTAAAAAGAATACAATGAATGGATGAGATCCAAAAGGTCAGAGGCTTTGTGCTATGAGTGGTTAGGCAAAGACTGTGAGTTTTAAAAAACTGAGCTTGGAGGTGGTGGTGCAGGAAAAGTCTAGCTTAGCCTAACATTTTTCACGCTCCCTATAAAAAGTAGGCATTTTTAAAAGGCTCAAATGAAACCTCTGCAACAAGAGCACTTCGGTGGGACAGGACTTCCAAAGCATCAGGGGTTACAGTTCCAACTGGAAGCACCCTTGGAAGGCGCAAGGGATGCGGATGCTGCCTGCGTGGGCTGTGTTCCTGGTAATAAGAGCTGGGAAGCTGGGGCCGACTCTGCCTCAGTGCCCAGGAGAGCAGTTGGTAATGGAGATCGGCATGCAACGCAGAAGTTAAGAAGTGGAACAACAGAAAAAACTGCTGCGGGCTCTGCCGGCAACACCTGGAGTTTACGGGGGCCCCTCGGAAAAAGCTGAGGTGCCCTGAGAGGTCCAGAAGGCAGGCTGATCATTAGGATTAGATTTTCATTTTTCAAGGAGAAGACTGGAGCGAAGCCACTTAGGGACACAGACTAGGGCTGACCCAAAGTGGAAGGAGAGGAAGCCCACACCACTGGATCTTACCTCTTCTGCATCTTCTGAATGGGTGGAGAGCTGGTCATGCTGAATAATCTCAGCATCCTCCTCTGTCGGTCCGTTGCCCACCCTGATCCCACCAAAGTTGACAGTTCCCTACACACATGAACAGAAAGAGTAGAATTTGCCTGGGCTTTAATATGACATTTTGTGAGGTGGGGAAGGGCGATGGTTAGTACATACAAACCTCAGAAAAGTACATATTCTAACAACAAAAGCAAAACCAGCTGGTCAAACAGCTAAGTAAAAACAAACCACTGTTCCCACCCCAGCCACCACCGCCCCAGCCCCAGCCCCAACTGCATTTACCAACTCATCCTGATGGGAGGAAATATGCAGTTCTGCCTGCTGCACCCAGAGACACCAACCTTGCCTCAGTCAATGCTAATTAAGAATCCTGCTTGAATGGAAAAGCTTAATACGAACAGACTCTCACAGCAGGTGTAGCTCTATCTGCAAAGCTTTCAATGGCCTAAGTTTTCTTGAAACTGAACTAAAGAGTAGACTTTGTAAGAGGGAGGGGCACGGAATGACATGACAATTGTAACCTGGTCTGTCTGATAAGCTTTCAACAGGAGCCCCAAGAGTTCCAGCCACCTCTCCCAGAAATGTGCTAGTGCTGGGCCTCTGCCCCGGAACAAAGGGAAGGGAAAGAAGCTTCATGTACGTCAGCTTCCTGCTAGAGAATACTGAGTTTACAAAAAGAAAGAGGCTCCTTTCCTTCCGTGGAGGACTCTGGAGTGAAAACAACTCTTTCTGGGCATGTGGGCAGATGCTGATGGGTGTGGCTTCTCCTCACTTCCCAGGCATAGTTTTCAGTAGGGTCTCCAGAACCTGAATTTCTACGTCAACCTGCTTTGGAAAAGCTTAGGTTTATTGAGGCAAAAGGACTCTGTGGCTACAAAAACTAGGCAGAACTGGGATTAAGTCTGACCGATATTAATTAGTGCTAACCTGCCACAGAGTGAAAGGAGCTGAAGAAACAGCCCCTGGCCCTGGCCGGTGTTGCTCAGTTGGTTGAGCCTAGTCCCATGCACCAAAAGGTCGCTGGTTCGATTCCCAATCCGGGCACATGCCCGGATTACAGGCTCAATCCCCAGTAGGGGGCGTACTGGAGGCAGCTGGTCAATGTTTCTCTTTCCCTCTCCCTTCCTCCCTCTCTAAAGCCAATAAAAACATATTTTAAAAAAAGAAACAGCCTCTAGGCCTACTTCTTATGGTTTCTGTCTGGAGAAACAAACAAAGCAAGAGTTGGAAGATTGCTCTCCTGCAAAATGGCCTTCTGGGCAAGCAGCACAAACAACGTGTAAGCAGGTTTGGACAACTGCTTGGAGGTCCCCACGCACACCTTCACCTGTTCTCAGTTACTGACCACCAGATCCCCGTGTGGACAAATGCTCTCTCTCCTAGCAGCGGTTCTCACGTGCTGGGTAGAGAACCATTGCATCAGAGTCACCTTGCAAGCTGCACTTCAGTACACAGAGACTCTCAAATACTACTCCCAGAAAGTGCAAATTCAGTAGGTCTGGGGTGGAACCTAAGAAATCTATATTAAAAATATATACCCTCAAGTACAAACTGTATAATCATTTTGATTGTTTATCAAAACTGAAAATGCATGCACCCTTTGAGACTCAGCAATCCAATCCCACCCACCATTGGGAACTTGCTTGTGAAATTTTATCAAGGATGTTCCCTGAATTGCTACTTGTAATAGCAAAGAACTGGGAACAATGAACACATCCATTAGTAAGAAAGTGATCACATAATTTTAGCAGATTCAACAGAATGGTCTATGGAATGCTAGGCAACTATAAAAAAGTAAGAATAACTATGACACAATCTCCAAGATACACTAAATTTTTAATAACTTAATAAATCAAGGGACAAAATAGTGCTACAGTTTAAACACAATTATGATGTGTTTCAAAAAATATATGTACATCCACATATGCACTTATCTCAGAAGATGATAGAAATTTGGAGGTAAAATGCTGTTAATAATACCCTGAAGGAGGAGAAGGGTTCTGGGGACAGGCAGGCTTTCGCTTTCAGTACTTTTTGCATTTTCTTTCCCCTCCCCAAATTTTTATTGGAGCCAAACTGACAACATATGCTGGGGAGCAAGATCTCAAATGTTCCCTTATTTGCATTTTCTAACCAAGGTCACCTATTGCTTTAATTGTATTTTTTAATGTCAGTAGGGGATTCTCTGGGTCATAGGATTATAGACCATTTTTATTTTTCTTCCACTTAACTGTTTTAATACCCTAAAAAACAGATGTCAAGTTCCCCAGGTAATTCTGATAAGAAGTCAGATTCAGGAACCACTGAGGCCCTGGGCACCTCCAGGTCACACAAGTATTAACCTGACAACCCTCAAAAGATGAACTGAAAGGGCAACGAAGGGCATGGGTGACAGGAGAGGACTCCTGGGATGGGTTCTAGGGTACAGGAGGCAGGCTTCAAGGCACTAAAGCAGAAGGCTAGTTCTGAAGCTTCCCCCGACTAGAGGATAGAGTGAGGGGCAGACGGGTTAAGCCTCCCAGCTAGACACTAGCGACTGTCCTTTCAGAACACAGGGTATGAGAGTTTTAGGAAGGGGGATGAGACACACACACACCAGCAGAAAGAAACAACAACAACTAAACTGTGACACAGGCTTACAGACAACCAAGAGGACACAGAACAGAACAAAAACAGATCCGTGTCATATCCTCAGCACTTGGGGTCAAGAATCCAGAGTCCTTGTTAGAGAGTTATCAACCTGATGCCTTTAGGCTGCTCTCCAGATGTTTGGCTAAAAAAACCAGTGGGCTAAGAAGACCCTATGAATGTGGGGGTTTCTAGACTGGGGACTTTTAACTTGCATAGTATGAAAGAAGAGGATGCAGATTTAAAAGCATCAAGATTGATGCATCAGAAGCACACCTTAAAAACATTAAGACTAGCAGAAAGAGAGCCCATAGAAAGAATGTAAATACATGGATAGTTTGTGTTCTAAGGGTTTTTAATATTTTTTTTCTTATAGGAAAAGAGAAAGTTCCTACTTGATAATAATTTAAGTAGCAATATTAAAATATCTTCTTATTCAAAATATCAGCCCTCTTAGACTAGTTCTAGAAGGATGATCATAGTTTTCAAAGTTTAAAGTGATCAGAAACACCTAATGAAGGGAATGGTTATCCATCTAAATATTTCATTTTCTTTTAAAGGAGTACGATGCTACTAGAACACAACAGTACATGAGTGATCACTACTGGTGACCCTTAAAAATCCTATAGATTCATTATATAGAATAGATTGTACTAGTTTAATATTAGGGCATTGTAAGATTTTGGTTAAGTGATGTTTTTAAGGACAGATATTGAAATGCTTAACATTCAAACTGCTGATACTGAATTATAAGCTAGTATTGGAAGAAGGAAAGATCAAAACAGAGATGACTCTGGTTATTACCCCAGATGTGCAAGACACACAAGACACACGGCAGAGCGGAGTTCTCACTGGAGCAGCTGAGGACGTGAGGGTAGACATGTATAAGCTTCCAATGGAAGGAGACTAAGTCACAGCTAAAATGGGCCAAATGTCCAAGCATCTTCGGAAGCAGACCTTTAAGTGTCGGGAAATCAAGAATCACAGAGATGCTCTTGCTCCGGGCTGAAAAATCACCCAATACATGGTCACAAAATACAGACATGAAAGTGGATGGGTCCAAGAGCGCCATCTTGGATTAAGATGATGGGACCCGGAGAGGGTACAACAGCCACTCTGCTTCCATAACCATGACTGTACTTACATATCTGAATAGAAACTTAGTAGACCAAGGGTAAAGATGATATCAGAATCTACTCATAAGAGGTGGAACTCTTTTCTGTCGTCTCAATGAGTAACAAGAGCACACATGTCCCACGCTCTCAATATAGTTAACAAGAATTCTGCTGCACTGTTTGCCACCTCTTTACACAAAATGTGATGGTTTGTTGGTTTAAATTCACTCACTGTTGCAGCCGCTGCTGCCTCTAGTCCCTGTTGGCTCGGGGTTGGGCTGACTGGGGCCTCCACAGGTTGCCCTTCCTGATAGTGAAGGGAAGAAAAGAGGAAGGGAGAAGAAAACAAAAGAGGGAGGGAGTGAAGGGGGAGACGAATGCAGGGGACATGGAAGGGTGAAGATGGTCAGAAAAGGGAGAAGGAGGGTCTTGTAACTCAGCTGCTCTCCAACAGGAATAATAATCTAACAGCCATATGAGAGTCATGCAAAAAGATCTTTTGGATTTTACCACAGTGTAATAAGTAAGCATTACTGGATAGCTAGAAGTGAACATTTGGCAACTTAAGCATATGTGTGTGTGTGTGTGTGTGTGTGTGTGTGTGTGTGTGTGTGTGTGTGTGTGTGTGTGTGTGTGTGTGTGTGTGTAGAATTCACATGCACACATACATTAAGTAAACACAAGTATGTATGCTGCTTTTTAAAAAGAAAAAACAACATGCTTCAAGCCAAATCTTTCCCCCGGATGTTTTGGTTGGTGAGAGCATCACGGTCTTATTTCAAAAGAAAATGTCTCAGTGTCAGCCCTGTGGTTGCCCAGGCAAACCACATGAGTGGGTTCACACGGCTGCAGCTCTTGCTGCTTTGTTGTGTCTGATGCTGCATCTAGACAGGCCCAGACCTGGATGTTGCTGAGCACAGCATGAGCAAACATGACCAGGAAAGGTAAACACTTATGACTTATTCTCTATACCCGAGCTACTCAAAGCTGAATCCAGATGTCCAGGCAACAAAAACACTTTTTGATTTCAGCAGGTCCAGTGCTCATGCTGGGATATGACACAAATGCACTTTAAGAGTATATAGACTTATGCACAATTCATTAGATCCAATGAGGAATTGTCTTGATCTTAAAAAAAAAATAGTAACTTTCAGCAACAGAAATATACCCACCAAATGCTTCCTCCTCAAATACTGATGGCGAAGGACCAGCGGTTTAAACAGTAGCATCCATGGTACACACAGCAATGCGACCACAACTAGGAAACACTGAACTCCTTTCTGCAAAGGAGGACAAGGCACATCACATTAATCAAACATGCAGTTTCCAATTCCAGCACAAATTACCCCCCAAACAGTACTTTCTTACTGACTTGTGAATAATGCTATCCAGATTCTCAAAATAATTAGCAGATGTGGCAAAGCCCAGGAATTGTCCCATAGGACGAGAGTTATTATTCCACCCTTTCTGATACAAAAATTATAGTAGACCCTCCCAAGTAAGGAGGACAGGCTGAATTTAGATCTAGATGCATGAATTGAAAACCAAATCCTACAGAAAGGGATTTAAGTTTTTTTTAGGGTAACAGAAACATCTAACTTCCTGACCTAGGATAACCACCTAAGACAGTCCACTTCTGGGCTGACGCACCTGCCCAGAATATAGCATTGAATTATGAATGTCCTCGTAGTTAAAGACGAACATGTTTATGAAATGGATCAGAAGGCTAGGTGCTTTCTCAGATGTAAGAGCGTCATAAGCCGTCCACTTGTAAAAAATAAGGATAACCAAGTAGCCAAACAAAGAGGTCATGAAGATTATTTCAGGAATAAACCCAAAGTAGATATTCAGGGGCTTCTTGAAATAGCTAAAAAGGAAGAGAGAAAAAAAACGTGAGAAGTGAACAGACCCAGGGCCACCCCTACACCAAGTGGAGCCCTCAGTAAATTTTCTCCTGTGGCTCCCTCAATTCTGTCTTTATTACTTTAAGAAGCAAGAGCCAGAAGCACTGGAGGCAACAGAGACAAACAGGATTAACGCTGACTTCCAGACTTTTAGACCTTGAACAGTTCCAGTACCATCCTCTCCATTCTCCCATGAGAGAGAGATTGGAAAATCTAGTACATTCCAAGACACAGTTCAAAATTTCATGTGAGTTACACATCAAGGAAAAAAATAATTCACTCATTTTGATGAAAATTACACAAGGTTCTCTCAAAGATCTTCACTGCAATTGTAAATTTTTAAGGGACTAATATTAAGTAAGCCCCATTTCTTAAAAGCACTTTTTTAACACAGAACAGGGTTCTGAGTTACTAATCCCTCCCCCCAAATGCCATCTATTTCTTAGGCAAAAGCATTACCTAAACTAAGCACATTCTTATGACAGAAACAGAGCGACTCACATATGGTTGAAAAGGCTCAGACCTACTCCAAACATCATGTGGATGATACCAAGGATAACGGACATCTTCATCTTAAAGGAGTTGAGGAAGGTCAGTTTATTAGTAGCAATGTTCCAAATCTGTCACAACCCAAGGAAACAAAAGGGTATTACAAAGAGTGCTCAAATGGAAAACTAGTCACCCATTTAAAAAATAGGGTTGTTTTTTAATTATGGAAAATTCTAAACACATTCTTAAGTAGAGAGAAGAGTATAACAGACAACTCCCACATGGACATCACCTATTTTCAACAATTATTATTCACCTATGCACTCTTGGTCAATCTGGCTCCATCATACCCCCAACCCACTCCCCACCTCCATATTGTTCTAAAGCAAAATCCAGGTACCATATAATTTTACTGTAAATATTTCAGTGCAGATCTCTAAAAAGGATTCATTTTAAGAACATGACCACAATACTATTGTCACACCCTAAAACAGTAACAATGATTCCTTAATATCATGAAATATACAGTCAACATTCAAACTTCCCTGGATTGTGTCCAAATGCTTTTTAATAACTCATTTATTCAAAGTAAGGTCCAGACAAGGCCTATACACCGTGACTGTTGATATAGCTTTAAAGTCTTAATCTATAGGTTTTCCCTCCAGCTCTCATTTTTTATTCCTTACAAAATATTTGTTGAAGAAATTGGGTCAGTTGCCCGGTTATGTGTAGATGTTTCCACAATCTTGTGTTTTACTGATCATGTCCCTGTGGTGCTGTCGGTCCATCTACTTTTTTTTTTTAAAGAAGCTTTATTTGTTTATGTTTAAATATATTTTTATGATTTCAGAGAAGAAGGGAGAGGGAGAGAGAGAGAAACCATCAATGATGAGAGAGAATTACTGATTCGCCTGCACTCCCCCTACTGGGGATCGAGCCCGAAAACCAAGCATGTGCCCTTGACTGGAATCGAACCGGGATCGTTTAGTTCCCAGGCGGACACTCTATCCACGGAGCCAAACTGGCTAGGGCAGTCCATCTACGTTTTAAATATTAATTGCCTTAAGCTTTATCCCCTAAGGCCTGGATGCCTGTAATACTTTCCTGACAGTTCTGCTGCCAGATAACATGGCCATCAGATAACATTTTCTAAATTGTGACTATGACGCAGTCATTTCCCTGAGCCAAAACCTCCCCCTGAATCCCCACCATCATCTCTAGGCGAAAGTGCAAAATCTGTAGCCTGACAAGCAGGATCTTCTACCATCCAGCCCGGCATCATTTTTTCCTGAACTGGCCTCTTCGTGAAGCTGATTCTCAGTGACCTCTAACCTGAAAAGTGGTGACTCGTTCTCTCTCCAGCCCAATCTCACCTGAAATTCAGCTCTACGACTCCAACCGCCTGACAGACATTTCTCTGAGTGTCCGCCCCCGTCACTTCAAACCCAGTATCTACCCTGTAAGTATCCAATGGAATATCTACAAAAAAAACTTTGTGACTACAGAAACTATATAAATGTGAAGAAATATTATTAGACTCTAAACTACTTGAGGGCAGGAATTATGTCTTAAAGTTCTGTGTTTCCCCCAGAAGGCACTATGCCTTGCAGACAATAGGGATTCATAGACATTTGTTAAATGCATATGTAACATGCTATTAAACTTCTCCAAGCCTGTTTCCTTATCTGTATAATAGAGATAGCATCATCTACCCGATAAATTAAGGATAAATCAGATATGCTGAGGGCTCAGGACATATTTCTGGCCCATAGTAAGCATTTCAGTAACATTAACTTCTCTAATAATTAAAATAATCAACTCTGTATCTCCCCACTTTTTTTTTTGCAAACACTTCTCCTCACCTATAACAATCTGAAGTATTTTTAAAGACAGATTATTTCCCATTTTATTTTATTATTATTATTAATCCTCACCTGAGGATATTTTTCCATTGACTTTAAAAAAAAAAGTGTGTGTGTGTGTGTGTGTGTGTGTGTGTGTGTGTAGTATTTATTGGTTATATATATATTGATTTAAATATATCTTTGTTGATTTCAGAGAGGAAGGGAGAGGAGAGAGAGATAGAAACATCAATGATGAGAGAGAATCATGGATCGGCTGCCTCCAGCACCCCCTACCCCACTAGGAATCAAGCCCGCAACCCGGGCATGTGCCCTTGACAGGAATTGAACCTGGGACCCTTCAGTCTGCAGGCTGACGCTCTATCCACTGAGACAAACCAGCCAGGGCTCCATTGATTTTTAGGGAGAGTAGAAGAGAGAGGGAAAGGCAGAGAGAAACATGGATGTAAAAGAAACACATCGATTGGTTGCCTCCTGCAGAAGCCCTGACCAGGGCCTGGGTGGGGGAGGAGCCTGCAACCAAGGTATGTGCCCTTTACTGGAATTGAACCCTTTGGTCTGCAGGCCAATGCTCTAGCCACTCAGCCAAACAAGCTAGGAACAATTTATTTTCCATTTTAATAAGAAACCTTAATCTCTCTGGGCCATAATGTTTCCCACCTGAAATTTTATAATTGTTACTGTCTAACATTTATTCTTCAGTTCCTCTACCCCCTTTCTTAGGCACACAAAACAAAAGATTTAATCACACTTATTTGCCTAAGTATTTGAAAAAAATAATTAAATTCTGGGATAAGTTCTTATAGTATGTAAAGATAAGAATAGAAGTTGAAACCCAGAGGGAAGAGCTATTTCTGTTCTGTGAAAAAGACAAACAAATTAAGTTAAATAAATTAAACTGGGAAGAAGTCTTGAAAATCAATCTTCCCAGAGTAAATATTACTAACCACCTCTGAAATTAGCAATGCAGGAAAAATTATTTTGGCTTCCCAAGGCACTTGGGTCTTTTATGGCTTTGAAGTACACTGAACAGATAAACCAAGGTTTTCCAAAAATATATATGTCAACTAAAAACCAAATAACTATTTATCTTCACTTTATTCTCTCACTTTAGGGTCACAATTTAACATTTTAGTGTTAGACATATAGGAGAGAAGTGCTCTTACTGGATCGATGCCAAAAGGGTATGGTCCACCAAAAACTCCAGGAACAGCTGGGTCCAACTGGAGCACAGGGTTCCCCCGAAGCGTCTCCTCCCTAAATTAGGAGAAAAGTTGCATTTATTTTTTTATCAACAGAAACTGACCCCAAAAGAAATTACTCTAGCTATCTCATCTCTTCAATAAAATGAATAGGGACGAGCATCTGAGATGAGAAGGGATCAGAGATAACAACAGCAAACTTAAACACATACACACAACCAAGCAGGGAATTTGGAGAATCTGCTTTTAATTTATAAAAATAATCAATGTGCCTATTTTAGCCTCAGCTCCTTGAGACTGCTGAGCAAACCACAAAGTTTGTGGAGGATAAATAAGAGGAGACGCTGCATTCTTCTGAAACAGACGTCGCCAACCAGCTCCTAAAGAAGTGTTAGTTTACCACCTGTCTGGAAAATCAGAGGTGAATATGAAAGGAATAAGCTTTGACTTTTAGCTTCTTTTGCAACTTACGTCCAATTAGATATGAACATTGGCCGTACGCTCCAGGACGATCCAAAGATATTGAGAGACTTGGAAAAGCAATCGTTGTAGATGAGGCCAGTGTAGATGGAGAACACACCCATCAATAGAATAATGTACCGTCCGCTGAACACAGTGCTAAACATCTGGGAACCAGAAGAAAGAAGTCAATGAAATGTACTTGCTGTAGCTCATGTTGGGACAATGTTGTTTAGAAAACACTATACCCTTCCCTTCATACCACTTAACCCCATCCTGGTCAGAGAGCTTGAAGTAAAGATCAAAATACAATGCAAATAAGAAATTCACTTTCACAGCATGTGGTCTCTTTAAGTGTTAAAATGAATATAACTTCTCTACAAATTCATGACAGAAGACTTCCAGATCATAATTTTCATAATGAATGCTTGAGGAATTATAAAATTTCAGTCTACTGCAAGATGTAACTCAAAAATTACCTCATTCTCATTCTTCTGAGAGAGGATCCGGCTCTCCCTTAACACCATCCATACAGCAAACAGGGTCATCAAAATGCCATGGCCAAAGTCCCCAAACATCACAGCAAATAGGAAAGGGAAAGTGATGATGGTATATGGAGCTATAAAGAAACCAAAGGATGTCAGATGGGTACTAGACTTACTGGAATGATCACTTTGTAAGGTGTATAAATGTCTAATCACTATGTTGTGCACCTGAAACTAATATAGTGATGTATGTCAACTGTAATAAAAAAATTAATTAATAAAAAAAACAAGGGGGAGAGAATGGGCAATATCTATAATACTATCAACAATAAAAAATATCCTATATAATAAAAGCCTAATATGCTAAGTGTCCGGTCATCCGTTCAACCAATCAAAGCATAATATGCTAATGATATGCTAAGGCAGCTCAACCGCTCACTATGACATGCACTGACCACTAGGGGGCAGACAGTTGATGGTTGACCAGTTGCTATGCTGTGCACTGACCACCAGGGGGCAGATGCTCAACGCAGGAGTTGCCTCCTGGTGGTCCAGTGCGCTCCCATGGGGGAAGCGCTGCTTAGCCAGAAGCCAGGCTCATGGCTGGCAAGCGTAGTGGTGGTGGCAGCGCTAAGGATGTCTGAATGACAGCTTAGGCCTGCTCCCCTAAGCTGTCAGTCGAACATCCCCAAGGGCTCCTGGACTGCAAGAGGGCGTAGGCCAGGTTGAGGGACACCCCCCTCCCCCGCAGTGCATGAATTTTGTGCACTGGGCCTCTAGTATTAAAATAAAGCAAAGAGGGGCAGAATGGGGACATCTGTAATAGTGTCAACAATAAAAATAAAGTAAAAAAGTTTTTAATTTAAAAAAAAAAAAAGGAGGAAAAAGACAAAGCAATTCCTCTCTGTATGCTAAGGTCAGTATAAGGTGACTTTGCACTCCCAGAGAAAATCTTCCCTGGTGCTGTGCTCCTCACAAAGTAGCTTGATAACATCTGAGCTACAGCTAGAGTTTTAAACAAAGAACACAGGAAGTGAAAGCTTTGCCTCTAGCACTGGCAACAATGTGGTTTGTTCTCTAATTCCTTTTTCCTAGTCCCTGGGACACTGCTCCTGGAGCAGGCAGCTTTCTTCTCTGTGCAGCAACCATTTCCCAGCTGAATAAAGCTACTGGGTAAGCAGGAGAAAGCCCAGCACCCGGGGCAAAGCAGGTCCGGAAGAAGGCTCCAGCTGAAAATGAATTCTGACTCTTGACTTAATAATTAACTCTCCAAACAGAGGAGAAATCTGCTTTGTGCCTAACATGGTCAATAATTGCTATATTTTCTCTAACATGGAACAGGGAAGCCATTTTAAAATGTCAGATATCTTGGAAAAAAAACTTTTGCTTAAAGCAGTTCCTACAAATGGTGTGCTAGAGAAAGCCAGGTGTTTTATATCTGTAAAACATATACACAGAAAAATCCAATCCACAGAGCTCATGCCTATAAAACCACCTCTTTTTTTAATATGTAAGATTTTTCTCCCTTTGATGGGAACTTGAATGAGGTAATTTCTATAATTCTTTCAAATTTTAATAATAAAAATTATGAAAATTTTACACAGTCAAATTTTGCTTCATAATCAACGAAGTTCTCCAAATAACCTGTTCTGTGAAAAACAGAGAACAGGAGTTATATGGGCACCTCTTCACAGGAATTACACTCGTGCTGAGGTCTTGACATCTTTTGTTTTAAGCCAGTTGTTAACAGCATTTAAAGTGAGGCATTAAAAGATAAAACAAACAGCCGGGCCGGCGTGGCTCTGTGGTTGAGTGTAGACCTATGAACCAGAAGTCATGGTTCGATTCCTGGTCAGGGCACATGCCCATGAGTTGTGGGCTTGATCCCCAGTGTGAGGGGTGCAGGAGGCAGCCAATCGAAGATTCTCTCTCATCACTGATGTTTCTCTCTCTCTCTCTCCACGTCTCTGAAATAAAAATATATATATTTAAAAGTATATATATGACAAGCAAAAAATAAAACCTCTGGAGGGAAACGATGCAAGCTTTTTTTTACCTGGATTTATCTCTCGGTAAGTTCCAATTCCATAAGCATCTACTATGTTCTGAAAGCCATATGTGAACTTGTTCGTTTTGTTATAGGTTGGGGGAGTCTGGTTTGTCTGCATCCTGTTCAAAATGGAGGGCACGGTGGACCCACTGTGCTCCTGGCAAACATTAAGCACATATATCAAATTAGGTCATGCTCCTAAATGTGGTGATCTTACACAGGCATGCATATTATCAAAACCCATCCACCTGTATGCATAAAATGTGTGTCTTTTATTTTATGTAAATTGTGTCTCAATCTTCCCCAGTCTTTGGGGAAACTGAAACTAGGTATAAAATTTACAATGAAAGATTTAAATTAAGTCTTGGGAAGAAAATCCTTACTGTAAAAAAACGTTTAATTCTAAAATATGTAACCAAAGTAACCATGGAACCTCTTTCTCTGGAGACATCCTCACCTGCCTTCCTAGGACTATCATTGTTCTCTCCTCTGTTTATGGAGGAAGCAACGTACATTCTCTGACTTTCCTCCCTCACCACCTGCTCTAAACTCCTGAATCCTTGCAGTCTAGCTGAGCATGCTTATTCAAAGTGGCTGCTGGTCACCAGATCCAAAAGTCTTTTCTCCCATATGCAAGCCCCTGACTCTTTCTGGGTGAAAACCTTGATTCCACAGGAGTCCCCTCCTGCTCACTAACCATGCTTTTTATGTCTTTGCTGGCTTTTCCTCCTCTGACTATCCCCAAACAGTGCAGGGCCCCAAGGTCCTGTCTTTAGCTTCCTTACTTTCCTTCTTTGAGGTCTCACTCCCTTCCACTCTCATGAATCCACCTTTCATTGTGCCTTTTCTATCAAGAACCTGTCCTATTACCTGCTGACCAGCCTCTCGATGTGATTGAAACTGAACTTACCATTTTCCCCCTAAGTTTCTCTTGCTGAACTTTTACTTCCATTAGTGAAACCATTATCCTACCAGGCACCCAGCTTTGATGCCTCAGAAACATTTGTTTATTTCTTCTTGTACTGCTCCCACACGTTGCTAAAAACCAAGTTTACCTAATGATTCTTCCTTCAGAATGTCTCACAAATTCATCATTATTTTCTTTTCCTATTGTCAGTTCTCACCTCAGGGGCCCTTACAGTTTACTACTCTGTGTTTAACATAACTTCCTAATTGACCCCCACCTATAGACTCTCTACTCTCCAATCCAACCAAGATACTATCAATAGGTTACTCCTTTAAAACTGCTTTGGTCATGTCCTTTCACTGCTAAATAACTTCTACAGCCTCTCCATTCCTTTTGAAATAGAATTTAAAAAGTAATCTGGTATTTTAAAACCTTTCTCAATTAGTTTCTACCTAATCAAGTTCACATCCTAGTATTTCCGTTTGCCCATTATAATCCCATTTTTGCCCAACCATGAATGTCGTACTGTACTTCCTGCCTTTGTCCATATTTTCTTCTCATCATTGTAAATCGACATCTCGCCCATTCTTCAAAGCCCCAGTGCCACCTTCTTGAAGCTTTTGTTCAATCATCTTAGTTGCATATACCACTCTGAGTACAGACTGTCTTCTGTACAGTCTGACTGTATGTTTGCCTGTCAGCCTCTCCAAGGAAACTGTAAGGTAGTTGAGGGCTTATTTTTTACTAGTACATCTCTAACTAGATCAGCGCTTTGAACAGAGCAGTACTTCTAACTACTAAGTGAGTCTGCCAAGGTCATACTACAGGTTATACTAATGGACCGAGAATGTGGATTAGGAAATTGACATTGTGGTCATGAGCTACCCTGAAGAATCATGGATACATGATTAAGTTATTTAACCTTTTTTTAAAAAAAGCACAATTTCCACATTTGGAAAAAAAGGACACATATGCAAAATGCATTGTCAGGACACAAGATGTGTATATTGAAGAACTCTGAAAGTAAAAATGCCATAAAAATGTGGATAGTTAATGTTACTGTTGATGGGAACCTCTTTTCTTAGCTATAGGCTGCACTGCTTGCTGTGGGGGACTCACCGTGCCCCTTCTGAGTGCAAACTGGATGGAGTCAAGTTCAGTGACAGGGCACCAGACCTCTGCAATCAGACACTTCTGGGTCACGTCTATGTTGCACAGGTTCAGAGTGTGGTAGATGGCCTTCATCTTCCGCACTTTGATGAACCAGACACGGATGTTCTTAGCAGCTGCCTGCAGAACCCTCTGGCGGTGATCCTCCGTTTGATTCAAAACCTTTGAGAGAGAAAGGAACATGGGAGGGATCCTTCTAACACCAGTCTTAAGTCTCAGGATATGAATGGCAAAAGGCACAACTTTCTGAGAAGGGTTGCTGGGAATCTGTTTTGTTTTTGTTTTTTTTCTTCCTTTGACTAGAATGACTTTTTTTTAGGGGTCAAATTACAAGAAATTAGAGTTCTAGTTACTAACATTTGTTTTTATTTAGCTCCAAGCTCAAAAGAAGCCTGATAAAATGGTTTCTACCTTTGCACTATACCTTTAATCTTACCACCAAATCTATGGCACAACAATTCATTGGCTTTTACTTGGCCCATTAAAGAGTGGTGACTTTCCAGGTGGAGCCTGTAACTCAGACTCAAAGAAGTCAGCATCACAGGTCCAGATGTTGACAAAGCAACAAATCCACACTGAAGAAGAGCAAGCTGCCAAATCCCCTGAACGTAAGCCAGCAGCAGGGAACGATGGAAAAGAGGCATTGCTGAACACCACTGTCTGCCTATGCCAAGGGAGACCCCAGAACCGGAGACAGGAGACACTGGGGTCAGGAGGATCCAGAACCTTTAGAGGGAAGTTAGCCTGCCACATACCACTGTCATCACGGGCAGATAAGGCTTTATGTTCCTGGTTCCTGTCAGGCTGGAGGAGTGGGGTGGGGGTGGGGGGATGTTTCAGTGCTGACCTCTGGAAACCAGGACAGAGTTTCTCAGAGGAATCACATTTGCCAAGACGACAGTGTGAGAATGGGGCAGGGACACTTTACAGTTACTGCCGTATTTACCAGCAAATATTTAAGATTTTAATAGCAGAAAAGAGGCTAAGCCAAAATTGGACAAGCAACCCGTCACTAACTTTTCTGCATGAAAATCTATCTTAAATCTCTACATTATTTTGAAGAGGAAAAAGCTACATACTAATCATTTTTAAGTCAGTTCAGAAAAAAAGTAGTAACTACTACTTGACAAACTTTCTTGAGCAGTAGAATGTGACTTACATAGAGAGGTTTAAAAAAAAGCTGGCCTGGCTGGTGGTTCACTGGTTAGAACATTGGCCGTGGTACCAAAGGGTCTCAGGTTCGATTCTCAGTCAAGGGCACGTACCTAGTTTGCAGGTTTGATCCCCAGCCCCAGTTGATGTGTCTCTCACATATTTCTCTCTCCTTCCCCCTTTTTATCTCCCTCCCTCTCTCCCTTCCACTCTCTAAAAATTAATGGGGAAAAAATATCCTTGGTAAACTCTTAAATCACTTGAGAATAAAGGAACAAAACTACTTTTTGTCCTTCTGGCTGTTGACAATTTCACAATTACTATTACAACTTCTGGGAAGCAATGTTCTCTTTGCTTTTTTCTTTCCCTATCTCCCACCCCCTGGTATTCAATTTTAAAGTTTCAGTTCAGTTCATGTGGGTTGCACCTGCTCTTTAAAATCTACCCATAAGCCTGGGAAGGGATAAGACAGTCCTAGAACCCAGAACATACCAATATGGCCTATGGTCCACCAGCAGTTTGGGTTAAACAGATAAGAATATCTCAAAGGAACTGGAAGTAGGTCAAGTCGGTGGGTCACATACAATGGGGGTTAGAGGGAAAGATGAAGTTGAAATGGGAATTACAACATATCTCTGACAATTTTGCCACTGGAAAGAAATGCCTTTGGGATTGGCATGTTTATTAATGTTTCAAGGGGCACTCATCACATTCTTTCAACAGGAAACACCACTCCAACTGCCACCCTTTTCCTTCCATGTTCCCATAAATCACACACACTGTGATTTTGGGAAAATCGAATGCAGTCTCTTCCTGGGTACAAGGGTTACACCAGGACACGTTGGCTAGACTGTGTGGTTGATATCCAGGTGACCAGAGGGATACACACCAAGCGGTTGAGAGTGGCTGCCTCTGGAGGTAGACAGTGTGTGTGTGAGACAGGGCGGAACTGACTTTGTATATACTTCTGTATTATTTGATTTTTTTTTCTTAACTAAGCATACTTTTGACTCATGATGAGGAGAATTGACTACTCTAAGCAACAGCGATTTCAGATGCATAGCATTCCTGTCTCCTTTGAGAATGATTAATGCTTTTTTGAAGCAGTCATTCCATGAAACTTTTCCCCAGCTCCCAAGGAGACGTTTCCTTTTTTGGTATCCTGAGCTACTGCAGGTGCCTCATAAACTGTTTGTGTTTCAAGGAAGGAGACTGGCCTTCTATTTCAGTATTACACAAAAACAAATTCCCGTCAGCCCTCTGCGTACCATTTGGAGATCCTCAATCCTGGTATTAACTCCAGAAGCCATTTCCTTCCTCTCCTGGGGTGTCTCAGGGCAGGGATAGAGAGAGGCCCGGAACCTGCAACAGACAGACACAGCCTGAGGAACACGGATGTTTCTTAACCTATCCAATTTAAATAATCTCAGAAAGTAATCCTAATTTACTAGAAGGACCAAGATACTAGTAGGATTCAGACTGGTGTAATAATCAATAATAATTATTTATGGTAAGTAGCCTACAGATAGAGCAGTAACATTTGAACTATCTTGGTATTCTCTGTAGCTATTAAATTTCCTTAGATTATAAAAACAAAACCAGCCCAGCGGTGTGGCTCAGTGATTGAGCATCCACCAATGAACCAGGAGGTCACAGTTTGATTCCAGTTGGGGCAAATGCCCAGGTTGTGGGCTTGATCCCCAGTAGGGGGCATGTAGGAGGCAGCCAATTGATGACTCTCTCATCATTGATGTCTCTCTCATCATTGATGTTTCTATCTCTCTCTCCCCCTCTTCCTTCCTCTCTGAAATCAATCAAGATATTTAAAACAAACAAACAAAAAAACAGTAATACAAATTATATTAGAAAAAATGGCACTGAAGAAAGATCTTATGGGCAGAATTTCAGAAAAGTTTAAGGGTATGGTGCCTGTGGCACACTGCTGGGTATGCAGAACCACTGTCCCAGAACAATGTAGCATTTATATATCATGAATCCTAATTAATTTTTTCCAAGAAAAGGAAATTGTGTTGTGTTTTAAAAAAAATATGTGTATTGTTTTTAGAGAGAGAGGAAGAGGAAAAGAGAGAGAAACATCGATGTAAGAGAGAAATATCCATTGGTTGTGATCAAACTCGCAACCTGGGTATGTGCCCTAATTGGGAATTGAACCTATGACCTTTTGGTGCACGAGATGATGCTCAAACAACTGAGCCACATTGGCCTGGGTGGAATTTGAGGTTTTGACAGCACTTTAAAAACTGACCTTGGGCCATTTCTAATAGTTTAAAATAGCCCCAACCTTATTAAAAGATGTATTCACCATGTGAAGGTAAAGTAAGGGTTTGTGTTTCACTATTCTATAGTCTAAGACTTAGGAGAGTTAGCCTGCACCCTCAGGGGAGGCACGTTTCTCTTACCCTTCACAGATTTTCTTGACCCTGTTTTTCAGCTGATCACCTTGGAAGAAAATGATGAACACAGACTTGTGCACGTAGTCGCCCTAGGCCCCAAACCGAAAACCAAGACTTCAGACTTGTAACCCAGAAAAAAAGTCTTAAGTAACTTACTTTCTTGGTGATACAGGAACAACAAAAATTCTTTGAGGATACGGCAACCCTGTACTTGAACCACTATCCTCCATCCATTTCTTAAGCTCCACTACAAGAACATTTGCCCTGTAATTACTTAGTCACAAAAAACTTCCTGTATTTGTTTTTAAACTCAACCAGGGGCTTGACACAGACTCTAAGATGATTCTTCTTAGTACAACTTAGCCCTATTTACCAATTCCACTTTAAATCTTCTATTGCCTGAAAGCCATAAGTACAGAGAAAGAGAAGAAAGACATTCCTGTCTGCTCCCATGCTTAGAAATTCCCAGATAAAGAGAACTGGATAACTACAAGGAACCGAGTAGTTGGGGAGAGTGTTGATGTAGAATTTCATGATTCATTCCTATTTAGACTTTAGGGGGCAAGGCGAAACGCAATCCATTCCAAATACCAAGTTTACACTTGAAGTATGGAAGGAATGATGAGAAAAATAAGCTATACTGGGTGTTAACCAAGATTGTCTCTATTTTCTCATATTCCTATGGAGCTGGTAGAATAAGAAAACAAAACTTTAGAAGATAAAAGGGGATGACGAGTGAAGCAGATAAGGCTTAAGACCTAAATTCCTAAATCCTCTAGAAATAAACTGGTGCACATTCTTGGTGCAGCTGCTCTGCTGTAGCTACGAGATACCCAGGCACCCTTTCCTCAATTTGTTGATAAAATGGTTTCTGTTGCCCAGACACCTGGCCAAACATTCCTGAGAACAGGTCCACATTAGGTGTGACTGCACACTGCAGTGTCTTCACAACCCGAGGCCAGCCTTCAATAAGACGTACGACTGCTCCTCTGGGTGAGGGGACTCCCCATAACCTAAGTGTCACTATGCTCCTACTCAATACTGAGGATCAAAGTCATATACTGTCACTGGATTATTTTTAGCTGCAGGACCCACCCACTCTGAGAAGTCTCACAGTTCAATCTCTCTTCTTAGGGCAAAGAATACTAATTTAAGAAATCCAAAAGATAATTTAGAACAACAAAAAAACAACAACTTCAGGCTTCTAAATAATACTAACACAAAAGTGAAGTAAATTTTTTTGCAGAACATTTCATCTTCTTTGCTTGTGATCCCTGAAATCAGAACTCACCATACTTAACATAGGTTTATGTTAAGAACTCTGTCCCACTATGTCAAATGCTACGATGTTACGCTATTCTTACTTTCCAGAGCATTGGGTGGGAAGATCATACTACCTTGCACAATATGTATTTTTAAACTAAGTTCTAAATCTCCCAACAAACAAGTAGACAATAAAAAACCTTACCAACTAAAGTCTCATCAACTTACAGAGATCCACAATGTAGGAACTGTCCTTTTTACATATTGATATTACCAAACTGGGAACCAGATGTCTTACTTTAAGTTAACTTTCATAGAAGGTTACTTTTTTGTTGGTCCCAGATAAGTAACACAAAACATATAAAGCTAAAGGTTAAAATAACTGGAAAAAAAACATATTTACATTCAAAATAATACACAGGCATAGCTTTAAAATGTACATGTATATGTCATATATACATCATATGTACACAAATGATGGAAGTTAAGAGGAAAAGAGCTGTCTCTCAAATTCCCAGATCAAAGCCGGGGTGAACGTAAGGGCTCCTTTGTGGGAGGTTCTGAGTCAGGGGGCACGAGGCTGCTCCTGCTCTGAACTCCCTTTACAAGACCTACTCCATGGGACACAATTTCCTTGTCTTACAGTCACAGGATCCTCCAGGGGGTTCTCGATTTCAGCCTGTCGCAGGAACACATTCCCCCGGCACACCCGCCAAAGCATGCGCTCAAAAGTAGGGATGCGCTCCCGGTTAATCACACCAGCCACGAAGCTGTGGGAAGAAGAGCCAGGTTGGGAAATCTATTCCATGCCAGGGGATGGAAGGCTTTAAGACAAAGAAGAAAGTGAGGAGAGGTACGAGGATGACAAACATGATTACACATTGTTATGTCAAAAAAACTAAAGTTTTACTTCTGGTCCCAGAAGAGAGCTGCGAGAACACAATCCAAATCAACTGAGGAGCGCCTCTCAACAGGCTCAGAGGAGAGTGCATTCTGGAAGCAAGTAAAGGCCAACCTTTTGCTCTTCTGAACAGTAAAAATGAACTTGACCCCACTGAGTATGGAGGGCTGAAGTGGTACTTACCCGAGTCTTAAAGGTGTGCCTCTTCCTATCTCACTTGGCTCCAAGAGGGATGAGGACTCTTCCAACAGGTCTGGATCCGCCATCTGCTGATGATGCAATTCAGCCTGAATTCACAAATCAATTAATATCTAATGAAAATAGTTAGTGGCATGCAGGGAACGAGGAACCAGGAGATAAGTTCAGAAAATAAAGATGAGAAACAAACCACCAAAAGAGAAGATGTACCCACAAAAAGAAGATAAGAAGAATAAGGAAAGAAAACAAAGAAAAGAAACAAGAGGGAAAGAAAGCATAATTGTCCCAGTAAATCATCTGGGGAAATGGTTTAAGAAATAAGGACTAAAAAAACCAAAAACAAACATTAAATGATGGTGACATGTATAAATCTTACTTGGTGGAAGCCATTTTTTCTCTTATATTTTCCTAAATGAGCCATGAAAGTACCAGGAAATACCTTTTCATGTGGATAGAAGCTGAAGTGTTTCTTCCTTTTGAGCAAAAAGGAGGCAGCTCAGCAGAAACTCTCAACATCCAATTTCCAGGCAGTTACAAACTAGAGTTTTCCCTGCGTGAGAATGTGAAAGATGGAGACTCTCTTTCCAAGGAAGAACGCAAGGCAGCGTCACTGTCTTAAACACAGTGTGTGAACTGGAGAAAGGCAGGGGAGGCCTCTCCAGATACCTCGGTTTTCTGTGCTCTTAGAAATGCACAATATGAGGACTTTCAGCCATTGCATAAAATGCTCCATGGGATGTAAGGAGTATTTCTTCCTCCAAAAGGATAAGAAGTACAATAGCTGGACAGGCCTGGGCCTCCACCACATCCATAAAGGGAAGAAAAAGTGAAAACATATCGGAATGTCCTAGCTTCTGAGCAGGAATCTAGGGATATTAAAAAGTTCATGTAGGCTTTACAGTTGCAGGATGCTTGAGAACATAGCTAATCCAATAATCTGAATCAAATGCAGTGAAGAGAGTAGCAGATATTAAGCCAATACACAGTGTGTGGGCTAGTTTAATTGTTTAGATTTAAAATGATTTCCACCATGACAGTTTATACAATGAAATGAAGGAGGAAAGGGACCTTTTCAGATGTGCTAGGTCTATATTTCCTAGCCTCTCTTTACACACTTCTTACCTACCACCTTTTACTCCCATCAGGAAGGGAAGCTGCCCTAAAAAATAAAGGCCAATTGATTTCTCCACAGCCTGACCTCTCCAACTTTAATATCCATGCACTTCTTGTTTGACCAAACAATCAGTAAAATTTTTCTCCATCATTTTCATTCCAAATTTCAAGATTCTACTCCTGTCAACCCATTATAAACAAAAAAACCTCATGGGAACGTCAAGTGTAAGCCTGAAAGCCTTAATATGTGAAGGCAATTGCTTTGAGAAGTAAATTTTGAAAGCAGGATCAACTTTGATTTTTTTTAACAAAGGGAAGGGCAGAGAAATACTGTCATGAGATTTGGAAAAGCTTAAGATGAGATAATGGGCCACAGGTTACCAGCTGCTATCAAATGGCAGTTTAGAGGTTCTTCTTATTTCTACTTAAGGTCAAACCAGCTCACTACAAGCCACAGGCAATTTATTTTGAGGATCCAGATGACTTCCACATTTCAATGTGCTCTTGGGATGTCCCTTAGCAAAAACCAGTGAAACTTACTGCTATTCACAAGACTGCTGCCTACTTCCCTGTACGGTTCATAAGACTTGGTTTAAATAAACCCTAAAGATCAGACTCAAAGCAAACATGTTCTCTAAGGGGACAAAGATGAAACAGCAATTAGACTACTCCAAAGACTATATCTGGGACTCTCTAGGTATAAAAAAACAGAATTAAAGTTAAATAGAAACTTGCAATAAGCTTCTAATTCATAATTACATTACTTCATACTTACGAATCCCAAGTCTTGCCCTGTCCAGGCGGCTCCATTGGTTGGAGCATCGTCCCATGCACCAAAAGGTTGCAGGTGCAACTCCCAGTCAGGGCATATACCTAGACTGTGGGTTTGATCCCTGGTCAGGATGCACACAGAAGGCAACCAATCGATGTTTCTCTCTCTCTCTCTCTCTCTCAAATAAAAAAACAAAAAACAAACAAAAAATGAAACACACATATCCTCAGGTGATGATTAAAAAAATGAAAAAAAAATCCTAAGTCTTAGAGAGGAAAGTAAAAGATTTTTAAAATAATCGTGCCTCATGAGAAAATAGGATGACCAGAACCACTAACTGAAGGCCTTTAAAGCAATCTCTAAAACCATGTCGTCAAGTAGCAAAATCCTAACTGGGCTCTCTAGTAACAATAACGACACCGCCAATGTTCCTCTAAGTTACTTGCTATGCCCTCTGGTTTGCCCCCTGCCCCAATTAGAACACTGAAACCATGCCTTCAAAAAAGAAGTAGCAGAGCTTCAGTAGGTCTATTTCTACTCTTAAGTATAAGCAGCACAAGTCCAGTTCAAGCTACGTTAATTACCAAGAGCAAACACTTTTACTTCCATCTATGTTAAGAAAGAAATTACACTCCCTTCTTCTCTCTCTAAAAATCAATTTAAAAAATATTTTAAAAAAGAGAGAGATAGAGATAGAGAGACAGAGAGAAAGAGAGAGCGAGAGAGAGTGAGAGATTACACTTCATCACCTAAGGTATTCACCCAAACCCCAAAGGAGATGGCAGATGGGAAAGAAAAGTAAAGAAAGCAGATGAATGAAAAACTCAGAAGGAAAAGAAGGCAGGGATCTGCATGCCATTAACCATTACTTTTCCAGTCTTCTTTACGCTCTCATATGTTATGGTGCTTATGGTAAAGATGCAGAGAAATCTCTCCAGCTCTTACAGTTCTTCATAAGCAAGAAGACTGAGAAAAGGATAATCATTAACAAGTCATTTTAAATGCTCTGGATAAGAAATGGCTAAGTCAAATTTGTAATCATTTTAAATCATAAGAATATTCAATGTGTTTACCTTTCCCCTTCTACACCCCTCACCAATCAGAACCCCTATACCAAAAGATGGAAAGAATCATTCTCTGATTTAGCCATTTTCTGCTAACTCATTATTACAAATCATTAATCATATTCACCAAAAAGAAGGCTTTGAAATTGGTAGTGTTTTAGGCCATTTGCAAACCTTCTAGTTGTAGGCATGGAAGAAAATCTCATGAAAAAAATCTATGTTTCCAAGATTTGAGGGTCTCAAGTTTCCTTATCTTTTGCATTCTTTAAAGTGTGCCCTCCCACGTGCGCATGCGCTTTACTCTGTGAGGTCTGGTTTCCTGTCGTGGCCTGGACACCTGAGGTTGCTGTTTAGTGGCAGCAGGGCAAGGGCTATTGAAAGGGACCTGGCTGAGGTTACGAGCTAGTGGCAAGAGCAGGCAAGGCACTGACGGTGCAGCTGGAGAGAAAAGGCAGAGTGGTTCTTGCCAGATTTCCTGCCCTGTGGTGAGGGTGCTAAGAATGAGAGGGACTGATAACGAAAGCAGTGGAAGAACCTCTCATAGTCAAGGCCTTGTGTTCAAAAGTGAACAGCTCACCATAGATTGGGCATGAAGGTCATGAAGATTTAAGCCTGCCTTCTCAGCATGGGCATTTCATGTTTAGACTTATTAAGCACAAAGAAATTCCAAAATCCATAACTTAGGATTTTAAAATCTTATGCCATTTTTCCAAGTAGTTCCTTTTTATATTTTTACTATTTTTAAAAATTATAACATTAAAGTTTGAATAACTATTTCCCTTAAGGGAGTCCATTTGTCAATCTTTATTCAGAATTTCTCCCAGAATGGACTAGACTAAGAAGCCCATTTCAGTTCTTAAATTTGGGAGGTTATGAAAGACATTTTCATACTTTTCAGCAACATCTGAGCAGTAAACAAAAGACTATATCAAAAGGAAAAAAGAGGAGCGGGGGGAGGGGCAATTAAGTCCTAAATGATGCTAAAAGTAGCTGAGCTTTGATCCTGAGACCAGGTTTATATTGCATCTGTGGGAAGCAGCTTGAACACATTTAGAAAAGCACACATCTGGGAGCACTGGAGGCACTCTGTTCGGGATGTTTCCTCATAACTACGGATACGCTCCTTGAGCATAGGGACCAGGTCTTACTCATCTTATTGTCTCACAAAGAGTAGGTGGTTTATCAAATGTTCAGTGAATTAATGAAGATAAATACAATGTGTAGGCAGTGAGCATACTGGAATTCCAGATTATCATATGCCTAAGTTGTCATGCCTGTTGCAAAAGACCTGAAACACTTGTCATGAGTTAATCACACTGTCCCACACCCGCTAATGTGACGGTAATTGCGGACTAGTGAAAGAAGTGATCAGTGGTCTCAAAATTCTCAGCTCAGTGAGCAAGCTGAATATTCACACCGAACCTCTCTTGATAAATACTGCCAGATTCTAATCCTTAGGAGGACCAGGCAATTAAATTCATAAGACCCTTCCCCTTTTCCCTCGCCCCAGCAGATCTTTTTAATTAGCATGGCTTCTCTAAGTCAAAGCCTTAGCTATTGAGGAATGTATCACATCTTCAGCTGACTTTCTCTAGCCCAGTGGTTCTCAAACTAGCCTGCCTCCCGATGATCTTATGAAAACAGATTGCTACGCCCACTCTCAGACTGGTAATTTGCATTCTGACAAGTTCCCAGGCAAGGCTGATGCTACTGGTTGGAGAACCCCTATTCTAGTATAAGAACAGTGGGAAGTTGTTCTTTCTCCAAAACACAGAAATTAAAAGTGGAACTGAGAACAAGAGCAGATACTAACTAAATTGGGCCTTCTATTTTTTAAAAGTTTTGCCACACAAGAAAATTTGTTTTGAGCAAAGGAAATAAAGAACTTTATAGGAAGGCACACTGAACGGTGACCAGAACAATCTCTGAAGTGTCTTATGTTGCTAAGCAGGTGGCAAAAACACCTGTAAAAAAGAGAATTATCCAGCCTGGCCAGTGTGGCTCAGTTGGTTGGGCATTGTCCCCGTGCAGGTTCGATTTCTGGTGAGGGCACATGCCCTGTTTCAGGCTTGATCCCTGGTAGGGAGCATGCAGGAGGCAGCCAATGAATGTTTCGCTCTCACATTGATTTTCTCTTTCTCTCTCCCTCCCTCCCTCTCTCTCTAAAAATTAATAAAAATATTAAATTAAGAAAGAGAGAATGACCCATATTTTAAGCCATCAGAAAAATCACGTCCAGGGTGAAAGCTAAGACTCCTTCCCAGGTTTAATTAGGAGAAGGAAGCTTTCTGAAAGCCTTGCTCCAAATCCTTTCCACGGGGTCACCTCAGCAAGCTGCTGGCAACTTAGTCACCTACATTTCTAATCCAGGAACTTATTAACATTTTTCCCTACCTGGTAATGCAGTTGAGTTTATATGAAAATCCAGGAATTCCAAACAAGCATCCTACCAATATTTCCATATAGTATTTTAAAAAAATTAAAGTGTGATATGTGCTATCTAAAGTAGTTAAAAGTGTGCTTGAAGGTTGATGGGCAAACATAGAAATAAAATTAAAATTTGATGACAAAAGGTTTGGAGATTAAACCTTTGTTATAATTTCACATGTAACTGAATGTTTCTTGTTGCTTTGACTTTAACCTTGAACATTTACTTACCTTAAAATATAATGTAAAACTTTTAACTATGTTAATACAACTATTGTAGGGTTCCTTTCCCCATCTTGAGATGAAAAATTACAGAAAATGCAAAAATATACAAAATTATGTCTGGCTATGTACTGCATGAAAAATGGAACATAATCTGACAGTTCTTCAACTAAAACAGGGTGTGAAGATGGTATTGCTTTCAAACTAGCAAATTAAAATAATTACTGGAATAAAAATATGGCCCACTTGTGCAGGTGTAACATCAGCTGCTCAAATACTAAAAGAAATAATAGTCTGACCTCATCGAAAAACTGCTGAGTTTTGCGAAGTATAAATTTTAATTCAGTCAGTTCCAGGAAGTTTCTCTTCAGAGCTTCCTGGTTGGTGTTGATTTCCTTCAGTTCATTTTCAATCTTCTCAAAATTAGCCTATAAAAAAGAAAAGAAATCAAACTATTAACTCAAACTAAGCTCAATGAGCTTGCTCTAAAGGACATGAATTCATCTATCTAACAGAACTCTAGCTACTATGACAGATATCTTATATCTACCCTGCAAATATGTGATTTTACCAGGGCAATTTTCTTCATTAAAATTTTTGTTTAAAATCGTCTTTGTTTATATATTCTATTATACCCTTGGTTGAATTCTCAGGAGACTTCAGATGGATAAAATAAATATTGAAATCCATTGGCTATTCATTTATTTAGACAATGAGATTAATAAATTAGTAGATAAACTGACATTAATCCAATATAGTTTCAATAAGTCAATAAACATTTATTTAGTGGCACATGATACTGTTCAACATGCTGTTCTATACCATAAAAAGGAAACTTCATTTTAATTCCAGCTACAAGAAACTTACATCAATAAATAATGCTGACAAGGACAGCTAGAATTACTCTACTCTCTATCCACTCAGAAATTTCTACATTTAAACAACAAGACACTTATTTGGCATCCTCAGAATTGTTTACCTCTAAGTCAATCATGTCCCGGGGGAAGGGCACCTCTGGATTTTCGCCAGTGTCCATAATTGGGATATTAGCTTTTCTTATCTCTTTCTCAACAAATCCTAAAATGACAGAATCAAAACATTCATGTATAGCATATGCCTGGAATTGCCAATATTTGGGGGGGGCGGAGGGGGGGGAAGAGATGCCAAGCCTGGCTAAAAAGCTTCATTCTAAGAAAGATACTTTTATACAAAAGAAGCAGAACATGTAAATCCTTTTTTCTCTACATTCCTCGTCCTCCTACCACACAATCTCTAAAGCACAGCTTCCCCAAAGAGGGTTATCATTCCACTCCTGTCTTCATTTCCTCTTCTGGTCTTCAAACTAGTCCAACCTGCTTCAGCTCTGCAACCCCTGTGACTGCTGCCTCAGAGTATGATGTCCTCATCACAAGTACTGCGGGCAGAGCAGAGCTATGGAAGAGCCAATTCAATAGACTATTTGACAACTGACACACTAGTGAGACAACTCCAGATCAAAAGGGTTTCATTACATTTAAAGGAAACAAAACAAATAAGAAGCAAGAGGCAGAATAAGGCTCCAAGACACCAGAAAAGTGTTTCAGGTGACAACTACTGACTTTGTTTTTTAGGATGGGAACCAAATTCACTTACCAGCTAACTGAGAGCTGGCATAGTATACTAGCAAGATCTTGGGTTTTAGAACCAGACAGAACAACCTGAATTCAAATACTGATTCCATCACGGCCACTTACAGTCTTGGACCATGTCACTTAACCTCTCTGATTTTTGGTTTCCTCACTTATTAAATGAGGTTAACACCCATTTTGAAGGGATGTTGTAAGAAATGAATGAAAGAAAGCATATGAACACCCTAACTCTCAATAGAGCCTTAACTGTTAGTTTCTTCCCTCATACATAAATAGCGCAGATTAAAAGGTGGCTATGCTGACATCTAAAATTGATGGTGGTCTGGGTTCCATCCCTCAGAATTCTATAATGTAATCTATACTAATAAAAGGGTAATATGCTAATTAGACCAGGAGACCTTCCGGGAAACCTTCCAGATGTCCTTCCGGACAAAGTGGGGCTGAGGCAGAGGAGGTTAGGGGTGATCAGGCCAGGAGGGGAGGGCAGTTGGGGGCGAGCAGGCCGTCAGGGGGGGCCAGTTGGAGGTGAGCAGGCTGTCAGTGGGAATCAGTTGGGGATGATCAGGACTGCGGGGGGTCAGTTTGGAGTGAGCAGGCCAGCAGGGGGGCAGTTGGGGGTGAGCAGGCCAGTGGGGAGGGTGTCCCTCAGCCCGGCCTGCACCCTTTCCAATCTGGGACCCCTTGGGGAATGTCCAACTGCCAGTTTAGGCCCAATCCCTATGGGCCTAAACTGGCAGTCAGACATCCCCTGAGGGGTCCCAGATTGGAGAGGGTGCAGGCCAGGCTGAGGGACCCCCCCCCCCTGCATGAATTTCGGGCACCGGGCCACTAGTTCTGCTATAAAACCCTTCCCACACACACACACAAAAAGCAGTGTTTTCAGCTTACAGCCGTGTCATCTCACACAAGGTTTCCATTAAGCATCACCAGGCCCAAACACCACAAAATCTACTTGTATACCAGAAATTCATCTTAACATCAGGATCACAAGATTTTTCCTCCTTTCTTTTTCTCCTGTAGGTTTTCCTCCCTTTATTAAGAGCACTGGTGTCTCTAATTTAAGATAAATGACTCATTATAGGAACATCATCAAGACCAAAATGCACATACGAAGCTTTCGATCCATTTCTTCACATCTTCTAACTTCATTCACAAATTTCCGCTGGAAAACATTCACATCTGGATTTAACTGCAAAATAAGAACACAATACCAAATATTCAAACACCGCGTCTATTTCCTCTGTTTCACAAGCAGCACATCCTGCAAAGTCAAAGCCTAGTGTGTCAATGCATGATGCAACACGAATAAAAACTGTCTACTGACCCACTTGGGAGCCAGCTGCACCAACTAAAGATAAAAACCGCTTCCTTGCTCTGCAACATATTGAAATGGAGGCAAATTAGAGTACAAAATGTTCTTCCTAGGCCACAAGTCTCAGTGAACCCCCTCCTCCACCACCGCCAAATAGTGGGCCCACTAATATAATAGCTGTTCTGCCGGTTTTCCCTCTCTCCTTCTTCCCAGTCAGAAGAAACAGAGGCAAACTTCTCTTGTTCTTCTGTTCCTGGTTCTTCACCTTCTAAGTGACAGGCTGGTTCATTCATTAAAGTAATTTTCAAAGCAATATGAAATATAAAACAAGAATAAAACAAAAGTTCCTACAGATTAAGAAACTTGCAATCTAGTAGAGAGAAAACATGAACATAACCAATAAGATAGCATGTGATAAATTCCATAAAAGTAATACAAATAAAGAACTACTATAGTTCCTTCTTCAATGTTTTTGGAGCAAGCACCAAATACGTGCCATACACTATATTAGGCACTTGTGTAAATATAAAGAATAAAATATGTCCTAACTTTTAGGAGCTCAATTTCACATATAATAAATACACTTTGTTGTGACAAATGCTATTAAAAAGTAAGTAAAATATTGTTGTCAGTTTCTTATACAATTAAACATTCCTACCCACCACATGTCTGAGCATCTACTACTAGGTATTTGTGTAAGAAAATGAAAACACATTGACAGAGACTGTACAAGAATGTTCATAGCAGCTTTTGCATAATAGCTCCAAACTAGCAATGATAACAACAAATGTCCATCAATAGGAGAATGGATAAAGACATTGTGGTATATTCATACAATGGAATATTACTCAGCAGTAAAAAAGAATCACCTATAGCTATCCACAAAATCAGATAAATCTAAAAAACATTAGGCTGAGGAAAAGAAGTAAGACCTAAGAGTTTGAAAGTATGACTATATTTACATGAAGTTCAAGAAAAGGCAAAACTAATCGATGATGCAAGAAACCAAAACAGTGGTTATCTAAGGGAGGGTGGGGGTTGACCAGAAGTGAGCACAAGGTAACTTTCTGGGCTGCTGCAAATATTGTCTTACCTGGGTGTATAAATTTACCAACATCATCAACCTGTACTCTTAAGGTCTTTGCATTTCACTGAATACAAATTTTACTTCCATAAAAAAGATGTGTGTGTGTTTAGGGAAGAACACTAGTTCTACCTAGGACAGTGGTTCTCAACCTGTGGGTAGCGACCCCTTTGGAGGTTGAACGACCCTTTCACAGGGGTCGCCTAAGACCATCTTGCATATCAGATATTTATGATTCATAACAGTAGCAACATTACAGTTATGAAGTAGCAACGAAAATAATTTTATGGTTGGGTCACAACATGAGGAACTGTATTTAAAGGGCCAGAAGGTTGAGAACCACTGACCTAGGAGATAAAGAAAAAAAATGCGCAAAGGTAACCACTTGAGCTGGGCTGATGGGGGATGAAGCCAAGTCACCAAGCAGAAATACACAGAATGGAAGGAGGAAGACCATGACATGCCCAGCCGGCGTGGCTCAGTGGTTGAACCAAGAGGTCACAGGTTCGATTCCCCGTCAGGACACATGCCTGGGTTGTGGGCTTGATCCCCAATAGGGGGCATGAAGGAAGCATGATTGATGTTTCTCTCCCATCAATATTTCTATTTCTCTATCCCTTTCCATTCCTCTCTCCATAAAAATCAATAAATATATAAGAATACATATATATATATACAAAACAGACCAAATGATCTGACTTTTTAAATATACTTTTTAAAAATTTACTGTTTTGAAGAATAATATTGTGTGTGAAGAATGAAGTGTAAGAGAGAGACTGATGACAGAGAAACTAGTAAGGAAATTATTGGTATTATTATATTAGAAGGAATCTACAGCAAAAAGCATTATTGGAGATTAAGAGAAAGGCTACATAATGATAATAAGAAAAATTCCCATGAAGGTGCACAATTCTAAACTTGTGGGTCCCTAATAAATTGTTTGTTTTTCACCGAGCAGGCAGTACTTCGACTTCTCATTCAGAAATTTCCACTTCAATAAACATGAAGTGAACTACTAGTTTCATAATCAAAGGCAAAGTTCAACTACGGCCACCCACAACCTGTTTCGGACAAGGCATCCTAAAAATATTTCAAACAAAAATGAACAGAAGTACAAGGAGAAACTGACAAGCCTGTCTATGTAGTGGGAAATTTTAGTGTAACTTTTCTATTACTGATACATCAAATCTACTAAATAAGGATAGAGAAAATTTGAACAACATAATTAGCTTAATCTAATACATACACACAGGGACTTGTACACATCTAATCCCTTCATCCAACAGTTTTCTCTTCAATAATTCATTTACAAAACTGACCACAAAATAGATCATACAGCAAGTCTCAGTAAAAAACTGGTACTATACAGACAATGTTCTTTGATTACAATGCAATTAAATTAGAAAGTCACATAAGAAATACAACTTATCATACTTGGAAATTCTAAAATAGTTCTAAGTAATTCATGACTCAAAGAAGAAATCAAAATGATTTTTTGTTTGTTTCTAAATTGCTGATTTGAATGGTGATATGACTAGTTCCAAATGTATTCAGTCATGCCCACATTTGAAAGAGTAAAACTTACAACAATCATGTTTGCCATGAAACAGTGTTATATTTATTTTGTATTTAATATAATGAGAAGTGATTTTCACTTTTCTAAGCAACTGAAAAAGTCCAGTTCAATTGATGCTACAGATGAACACACACATGGCTTTCTCCTCCTCAAATAACTACAAAAGAAAACCAAATTATGTTATTTCATTTAAGTAAATTGTACTTAATGAGTGACACAAATGTATGTTTAGAGACAATATTGCTTCACATTTGCAAGGCTGAGTAGTTGTTTACCATGGTCTGGGAAAAGCCTACTAATTGCCTATAAAAGAACCATTTCTGTTAACTCTTGTCCTTAATAAGTAATATGTGTATCTTGATGCAATACTTCATTCATGAGAATAATTCTTCCATCACAAAATTGCAGCTTATGTATAAGTTTAAGGATTTATTTGTAAATGATGGCAATAATTCCCTATAAAAGATCTTAATAACAGTAAAAAAAATTAGTATTTAATGACTGACATATATGAAGCAATTTAAATAATTTATGAAATAATGAAAATGCTAAAAATCAAACTTTGTAGGATGCAGCTAAAGTGGTATTTAAAGGAAAATGTATAACTTTAATTGCACATAACAGAAAAGACTAAAAATTAATGTTCAAATTCAAGACATTAGAAAAAGATAATAGAATGAAGAAAACAACAAAAAGGAGAACAAAACAAGTCCTAGAGAAGATGCCCCAGATCAAAAGCTGGGTGTTTTTTTAAATTAGTATTTTATTTTATTATTTTTCTTAGCAGCTGGTTATTTGAAAAACCAAAATGGCCAAAATGTTTATAAGACTGAGAGAAGGCATGCATAAATATAAGAATAACAAACAGGTAACTACAGCCCTAGCTGGTTTGGCTCAGTGGATAGAGCGTAGGCCTGCAGACTGAAGGATCCCGGGTTTGATTCCAGTCAAGTCTCTCTCATCATTGATGTTTCTATCTCTCTCTCCTCTCCCTTCCTCTCTGAAATCAATAAAAATATTAAACAACAAAAACACTGTGAGAATACCACTTCACACCCATTAGGATGGCTACAAATTTTTTTTAACGGAAAATAACTTGTGAGGATGTGAAGAAATTAGAACCCTCATACATTGCTGGTGTGAGTGTAAAATGGTGTGGTTGCTGTGGAGAGAAGTCTGGGGGTTCCTCAGAAAGTTAAACATAGAATTACCATATGACCCAGCAATTCCACTGCTAGTTGTATATCCAAAAGAAGGAAAAACAAACTACATATTGTATAATTCCATTATATACAGGGTGGGACAAAGTAGGTTTACAGTTGTGAGTACCTGAAACACAGTTTATTCTTATATTATTATTTATTATTGTATTGTTTTCCATACGAACAACTGTAAACCTGCTTTTGTCCCACCCTATATAATGTCCAGAATAGGGAAATTCACCAAAAAAGGCAGATTAAGTGGTTGCCAAGGGCTACGGGGAAAAGGAGTGACTTCTAATGGGTACAAGGTTTCTTTTGGGGGTAATGAAATGTTCTAGAATTAGATAGTGATGATGGTTTTGTGAATACACTAAAAACCATTGGATCATATATACTGTAAAAGGGTGACTTTTTTGGTATATCTCAATTAAAAAGAAAACAGGCAGTGGAATCAGACAATGCTGGGCACTAATTTGTATGTCCTTCAGGTATTTATTTTCATCTATGCCACAGGTTCCTATTCTGTAAAATGAGAATGGTAGGCTCCACGAACCAAAAGTAGGTTCTACTGTGCAGAGTTGTTGTGAGAAATGCCTGCAATAATAATACAAAATGCTCAACATGGTATCTATTAAAAATGTAAATTATCATTATGACTGTGTTAGACAGTAAAGAATTGAAGAATAGGAAAGAGAGAAGGAATAGATGAAAGAACATACAAAATTTTGAACAAGCTGAGTGAGGGAACATGTCTTACTCAATGTCTCTCTAAAACCCAGAGTGGTATCTTTACAGAGTAGATAGAAGATATCAACTACTTCTTACATTGAAACCACTCATTTTAATATGTTGCATATTTTCATATCAAAGAAAAAATGCAAAAAGACAGAAAAGTACAGATACATGTTACAACACAGATGAACCTTGAAAACATTATGCTAAGTGAAAGAAGCCAGTCCCAAAAGATATGTTGTATAATTTCATTCACATGAAATGTCCAGATAGGCAAATCCGCAGAAACAGAAAGTAGATTAGTGGTTGCCAAGGGCTGTGGAGGGAGAGGAGTTGGGGAGTGACTGCGAATGGGTGCAGGGTTTCTTACTGGAGTAATGAAAATGTTCTAAAATTAATTGTGGTGATGGTTGTACAGCTCTGTGAATATACTAAAAATCACTGAATTAAACACTTTAAATGAAAAAATAATATGGTAGGTGAATTATATCTCAGTAAAGCTATTAAAAAATAGTAGAAAAATAACCTGGACATGTAATTCACCAAATTAATAGATTGAGCAGAAGAAACATAGTAACACCAATAGATGAAAAGGCATTCAATAAAATTCCACAACCATTTGTAACAATAACTTTAGAGAATCAGAAATTGAAAGAATCTGCATAATCTAATTAATAGAATTTTCAATAAATGTAAGAGTAAACATCTTATTTAAATTGTGAAACATTAGCCCTGGCTGGTGTGGCTCAGTTGGTTGTAGCATTGCCCTGTACACTGAAAGGTCTCAGGATTGATTCCTGGTCAGGGTACATACCCAGGTTGTGGGTTCGATCCCTGGTGGGGGCGCATGCAGGAGGCAACTGATTGATGTTTCATTCTCACATCAATGTTTCTCTCTCTAATATCAATAAAAGCATGCCCTCAGGTAAGGATTTAAAAAAATTGTGAAACATTAAAAAGATTCCCCTTAAAGTCAGGAGCAAGACAAGAATGTCATTTAATGGATACTTAGCATTTTGCCCTCTTTCCTTAGTAACAAAAATCCCAATTTTGTTCAGGGCAGCAAATCCTCAGTTAAAAAAACCACATTTCCCAGATTCCTTTGCAGCTAGTGTATGCCATAATCCTGGCACCAATAATAAATTTTAAAAGTCTACTTAGAATTTCTGGGAAAGAAATATGTACCTCTCCTTTCTCCTTGCACTTCCTTCAATGATATGCCTGGAGCTATGGGGGTTATCTGTAAGTACAAAAGCCAAATGTTCAAGGATGGTCAAACAGGGATACAGAATGATGACAGCATGGAGCTGGGCTTCATGTTACATGAGAAAAGTACACCCCTATCATTTGGGCTTTTTGTTACACTCAGCTAAGCACAACCCTAACCAGTATTAGCTTGCTGTTTCTCTTCTTCAACATGTTACTAAAGGTCCAAATGTGTATGGTGAAATGAGAAAAAGAAACAAAAGGATAAGGATTTGAGAAGAAAAAACCAGCTTACTCTCTAATGGTACAGTGAAAAAGATTATATCAAATGTGACAAAATGTTAACAACTGGTGAATCAACATAGGAGTATTCAGGCTTGAAATTTTTCAAAGTAAGAAATTTAGGCAAAAACACACCAATAAGCAAAAAAGAAAAACAAACTTTTTGTATGACAAATGAAGGGAAAAAATAAGCGACAGCCTAGAAGAATTTATTAGTAAAGGAGTAGAAAAAGATTAGATTCCAGAAGACGTGAAGAACTTTTACAAATCCTACAAGTTAACAAGCAAAAGGCCAGCAAACCATTAGTAAACAGGCAGGGGATATGGACACACGCTCATGGAAAATGAAACCCATTCTGTCCAATAAACATAAAAAGGTATCAAATGTCCTAATACAGAAAATGCAAACTAAAACAACAATGAGATACCACTTCGCACCCATTGGGTTGGTGAATTTCTTTGAGCACAGAGGTGTTGACATTGTTCCTGACACTGTGGCATGACAGGAACTCTCAACCAGCCCTGGCAGCATGCACAGGCACATGCACTGTGAAGTACACTCTGGCATCCTCCAGCTAGAGATGCACACTACACTCAGCAATGCCCCTCCTACTTATCATCCCTGGAGTAGCAGCAGGTCCATGTGATCAACACCATTTTCGCAGTAACAGTAAGACATTATTTGCCTTTTTCATTCTCATTGTCTCATGAATGTTTCAGTGACGTTTTCCAGAGTCTCATGACATACATCACAGCAGACTGACTGCAGAGGCAAACGAGAAGCCAGCTATCTTCTATTAATTCAGACACTAAAAGATTTTCAAAAATGTAAAAGCAATACCATTCTTCTCATTATTTTTTGTTTGTTTTGAAAAATATAGCTATTTTTCACAAATATGCTATTATAACATGTAATGGGTTTATATTATAATTTTTTAATGAGTTAATAAATATTTAAAACATTTCTCAGCTTTAATTTCCAATTTAATAAGTATAAATAGTTGTAACTCACATAAGAGCCCGCTAGGGTTCTCAATTTTATTTTATTTAAGAGTGTAAAGAAGTCTTTAGACCAAAATGTTTGAGAACCACTCCCCTGGAGAAACTATAAAAGATGCATGCCAGGAGACACAGAGAAGACTCTTCATTGCAACTTGTAATAGCAAAGAACTGCAATCATTAGAAGGAAAAAATGATAAATTATATATTTTTACAATAACTATATAGCAATTTAAATAAACGAACTAGGGCCTCCTGCACCAACATGGTCAAATCTCACAAATGTTAAATTTTAAAAATACCTGCTGAAAGATACATACAATATGATACCATGTAAAGCATACAAAATTATACGATATATTACTTGGTGATTCATACAAACATAGCAAAAGTAAAAAATAAAAACATATGGGAATAATACTGTCAACAATAATAAAAATAAAGAAAAAAACACAGGTAAGGGCAAAAGTCACTATACAAAGTAACCTCTAGGGAGGAGGGGAGAGAAATGAAACACAGGGAGGAAGGAGAGGCAGGAACCTTCAATTATATGTGGAATGTTTACCCCGTAAGTAGACAATATAAATTACATAGGTATTCATTATATTATTCCCCATCATTTTTTGTATGACTGAAATACATAATAAGTAAAAGTTAAGAATGCTGAATGAACCCACATGGGTATTAGAAAGGGAGATACTATATAGGACCAGATGAAGAATTGCAAATTAAGGGTGAGTTAGGTTTGATTTAGGTTTTAAGTCTAAAAAACTGGAAGAATAGCAATGCATTAGCTCAAGTTTAGGAAGTGAGGATGAAGAAAAAGGAAAGGTGTTGGGATTTAGATGTATTAGCTTGAGACGTATTAGCAGAGATGACAACAAGCTTAGAAATTTGTATATTCAGGGAAGGTATTTGGGAAGTCAAGGCCAGAGATATAGATTTGGGACTCACTGAATAAAGATGAAAATTTTGAGAATGGATGGGATCACCGAAAAAAAGGTGATACAGGAAGATGTCGGCGTGGACAGGCTTATCCAGAGAGCAGAGAGCTTGGGAAACACTGACACTGAGGGCAGAGGTGGAGAAGATAAAGGAGAGGCCGGTGGAAGAGCCTCAGAAAGGTAAAAGAACACTCCAAAAGAGATGGTGTACAAAGGTTCAAAGAAAATAAGGAATAAGACTATCACTGGGTTGTATTTGTGCAGTTTCAGCTCGTACTGAGAACTTCCTGAAAGCTTGCCAATACCAGGAAGTCAATATTGATGAATCCCACACCTTTCTGATTACTCCTCTTTATCCATCCATTCCAACAAATACTGATTATCTTCTATGTGGGCAGTAAGGATAAGATAGTCACTGTCTCTGTCTTCATGGTACTTAGATCAGAGTAGCAGATGGAGACTTTAATCAACTACTTGCACTGATGAATGTAAAATCACAATATAATGAATGCTGTCAATGAGAGGTACATGGACCTTTGAGATTGCCTAATAGGGTATTGTTTACTTCCCCCTCCTTTCAGCGGCAAATATCAGACTGTAAGCACCATAGGGCATACTTTTTACTAGCATACGCTTATACTGTCCATTTTGCTTTTACTGATTTTTTCTTTTTTTTTTTTTTTAGAGAGGGAAGATGGAAGAGCGAGAGAGAGAGAAACATTGATGTGAGAAAAACACATCGATTGGCTGTCTCCTATATGAGGCCCCTCTGGAGATCAACCTTGCATTCTAGGTATGTGTCCTGACTGGGAATCGAACTTGGGACTTTCTGAAGCATGGGACGATGCTCCCACCAACTGAGCCACACTAGCCAGGGCTGTCCATTTTCTTTTCTTTTTTTAAAAAAATATATTTTTATTGATATCAGAGAAGAAGGGAGAGGGAGAGAGAGATAGAAACACCAATGATGAGAGCGAATCATTGATTGGCTGCCTCCTGCACACCCCCCACTGGGGATCAAGCCCACAACCCAGGCATGTGCCCTTGACCCGAATCTAACCCGGGACCCTTCAGTCCGCAGGCTGACGCTTTATCCACTGAGCCAAACTGGCTAGGGTTGTCCATTTTCTTTTGATATCTTCTCCAACTTCCCAGCATAATGCTTCAGCTTAATAGGTATTCAGTATACGTTTACTTATATACTATATATCCCTAACTGCATGCTTCAGATCTTATAATAAGTATGACCTGCTGTATGGAAAAGCTATGAAAATATTTTTAAGATCCTGCTATGGGTGTTAAGGAGCCCAAAAGTAAAGTGGAAGCCTTGAACAGGTTAGTTTGCTGTCCTCCGTTTGCATCCCAAGCAATTACCTTGAGAATGCTTAGGATTATTCTCAAAGGGGAACCAGTAAAAACATGAAAGGATTGGCCCACAACAATCTCACCTCTAGAAAGACAACTCAAAAAAATGTCAACAGTAAGCGTGCTGTCATGTTATTTTTGCAAATAAAAAAGCAAAACATTCATCATAAGGCAATTGGCCATGACCAGAAAATTACAGTTCAGTGGTAATCAAGAGGCAGCCCCACAATTACTTACATCACGAAACTGAACCTTTCCGAGTTCTCCTAATTCGCTGACACAACAATAAGCAGCTTCTGACTGTAGGAAAAGCTGGGCCAGCGTCATCTCCTCACTCCGGAAAAGCTCCCCCATGGCGGCAGAAAGTACATCCACTGAGTACCGGGATTTCTCTCCAACCTAAGGCAAAAAGGGAAAATTGCATGACCTTGGAAATTACTAAGAGGGCTAAGAGCAAACAACACTTAGTAAGGCTCTTCCGTTTTGCATTCCATGTCTTTCACCTCGTGCTGACAGGTCTTTAACAACTGTTTTGACATCCTCCTTAGAAAGATGGAAAGGAGAAATTGCAAAGGCTGCCACTGAATCCTCTCCCACAGAGTGCCTGATGAAAAGTCTCTTCCTTTGCAGTCAACATCAGGATCAGATGACAATATTTTGGGACATCTCAATACATAAGAATGTGTCCATATTAAAAATAGGAACTGGGGATCCCAAACAGCTTTTTAATACCCTGGACACAACATTCTGAGGCAGTGACATCCACACTGCTCTATCTTGGTTTCCACTTGTGTCAGGAAACAGAAGAGACCTCACCATTTTCTAACCTGTACTGCCCATTTCTTCTTCTTCTTTTTTTTATTCTCACCCGGGGAATATGTTTTTCATTGATTTTAGAGAGAGGAAGGGAGAGGGAGAGAAAAACATTGATCAGTTGCCTCCCAGGCCCACTTACCCTGATGGGGGATCAAACCCTAAACCTATGTAACTGTTCTGATCAGGAATCAAACCACCATTTGGTGTACAGATGGTGTTTCAACCAACTGAGCCACCTGGCTAGGGCTACTGCCCATTTCCAACAGCCAAAGTGCCAGCCCTACCCTCAAGTTACGACTACCTTAAAGGGTTTAACCTTCCAAATTCCTCAGAAAGCACCATCTTCTCACTACAGAATCTAACTACATAATCATTATCTTTAAAAAAAAAAAAAAGGAACCAGCTTGCTTATTAAGCTCAATATCAAGTCAAGCATGGCAGGAATCCATTGATAATGACAAAGCAGTTTTATCAAGCCACAGAGAATAAGCTTTCCACCTCGGAAGCCTTCTGTTTCTTATCTCCACCTTCAAGATGAACTACATTGTTCCATCTGTTAAAGCTTCTCCTGCACGCGTCCATAAAGGTTTGGTTTTAGGGTTGTCTTATCACTGCGGGGTAATAAACATCAGTGGCGCTATCAGTGGTCCTGAAACTGCAATTATTTATTCTCAATCAGCTATTGTGAGGCACAGACGGTACAGCATCTAAGCTCGAAAAAACATACGGTATTTTAGTATCATGAGAGCACCCATAATGATAGGTGAAACTGGCATGGAAGGAAGAGTTGCGCTCGGGGAAGGCTGGGAGACATCTTGAAAAATTTGAATGACAAGCCTTTGTGCCTTTGATGTTCAAAGCAGCAGAACAACACACTCGGATACAAGCAAGGATTTCTCAAGAGATTATGTAGCTTGACTTTATACCACCACCCCACAACACACCTCGCTCCTAATTATGGGACAGAGTCCACAATCTCTAAACACATAATATTATGCCTGATCAGCATAGTTCAGGGGCTGCCATTCATGACAGCCTCCAATGAGTTGCCTCCCTCCTGTTTTTTAACGATAACAAATCTCCCTAAATGCATCTCTCCGACAAACCAAACAGAAAACCAAATTGGCCAAAGCGATTAGGGGATGCGGGGGAGTAGTGGTGGTGGTGGTGGTGGTGGTTGTCGTGGTGTGTGTCACAAAACAAAATATAAAGAAATAGGAATTCTGCTGCACAAGATTAATCCAAATAAGGCGTCCCCGCGCACTGCCGCTGTCACCCGGTCCTCGCCTCCTAACGAGGTATTTAGATTCACCTGCTTCGTTCCTGTCCGCCCAGCGAGCATCGGCACACCTACCTCCTGGAGGAGGGACTAGAAGGGAGAAATTCTCCCATTGGGACCTCATTTAAGAAGTCTCCCCCAAATTTTTCGGCCATTCCAATAACCTTCAGTTCCTCCGCCGACCCCTTAAGTGGCGGCAGGGATCAGGGCCTCCAAAGGGGAGTGAACCTCCGGTTCTGCCCACAGAAGGGGCGCCCGAAGAGAGGTGAACCCCATTTCCTTCCAGAGACCTCGGATCCCTGCTACTTCCTCGGACAAGTGAAGCGGATGTTAGAGTTCCCTGTGCCCCTCGGAGGCCGCTCCCTGCCGCGCCGTCCCCGCTCACCTCCAGCCGCCGGCGGGGCCACTACCAA